GCTCGCCATCACTAAGTCTCAGGAAGTCTTTAACAATGTCTAGAAAACATCCCTCAAGGTTGACAGGTGGACGAGAAGAGGTGACGGCCGCTGACAGAGATGTCTTAACACTGCCTTCTGCTTGTGTGGTGATCAAGTATTTCATTCTATTCCAAATTTTAGATCGGTTAGTGTACAGCATCAATGAACATACGTCACCTTAACAGTTTAGATTCTCACAGCAAGGGACTATCAATCAATTTTTTTTTGTCAGAGATAACATTCAAGTAAGTTAAAATTAATAATATACATTTTATATCCCATCTTGATTTACCTGAGCATCACCTATCACCTCCACGTGTACTAATGAAGACAAATTTTTCCCTCGTTCTTCTCTATCACGTGTTACCTGGGGGTCAGTCCTGTTCTAAGTATGTCGTCACTCGACTTTCAACCATTCTCACATTCCTCACCTCACTCATCCTCTCTCCCTCTCCCTCATTCCCCTTCTCTACACCACTCACCCCACTTATCCCCTCTCCCTATCCTCCATTCCCCTTCTCTGTACCCCTCACCACATTTCTCACCCTACTCATCCCTCTCCCTCATTTCCCTCTTCCCATCCTTCTTCCCCCTCTCCCCACCCTTCTTCGCCCTCTCTCCACCCCTCTTGCCCCTTTCCCCAACCTCATTCCCCCGTCTCACCCCACCCCTCTTCCCCCCCTCTCCACCCCTCCCCCCCCCACCTCATTCCCCCGTCTCACCCCACCCCTCATCTCCCCACCATCCCAGTGATATTAGTCGTGTATTGAGAGATGGTGAAAGTGATGGTGACGTTGTTGTCATGGTGTTTATGGTGGTGATGGTGAGTGATGGTGATCCTGATGTTGATAATCTTTAGGGTGGCGAGAGACAGGCAGACAGACAGACAAACAGAAAGAGACAGACAGAGAGACAGAGACAAGGCGGAAACAAGAAACTGCGCTACAGACGAGAAAAGATGTAAACAATGACTCGACAAGTATGACCAAGGTATAGCCAAGATATCAACCTTCCATTACTATAGCTGCTACAGTAAGGGTCACATCCCACCGCCTTGTAGAGTTAAAACCATGTCATCCCATCACTAAGAAATGATACCCCACCTTTAGAATGTGTGTAGACATCTAGTTATGGGATTTTAAAGGAGTAATTTAACGCTGTGTGTTGCTTTAGTCTCTTCTCTGTGTCTATCAGTGTTGGTCAAAGTCAATCAATATCAGTGTTGGTCAGAAATTAAATCATTAAGATGTTACGAATACATCCCTGGACAAAGTTCGTGGTTAATGGATCAGTCTGCAACATTTTGAGAACTTTAATCCCAATAAAAATTTTTTTTTTTTACCTGGCCAAACACCGACTCACCTGTCTCGTTTCATTAAGATCAGTCAAATATTTGTTTCTGATATTTATGTAAAGGTTAAGGTGACTTTTAACACGTGATTGAATGTTTTGTTTGCGTACACAATATATACAGCTGTATATACTATTTACACGTATACTTTAACGGTTAATTGACCAAAGAAAGATGGTGAAAGTTACTGTTGGTGAAAAAGTTTGAGAATAATAGCAACAACAGTTCTATGAGATGTAGGATAAAGTATTAACATTAAAATATAATCACCGAACTTTTTGCCATATTTAAAAATGTTTCAACGTCATTAATTTAGTGATACAAGATAAGTTGTTGATAAAGATGATATTGATACGAGTTGTTCATCTCGATATTATTAAGACCGATACTTTGAATGAGACAATGAACTGATATTATAGACAATAAGTGACTTTGGACAGGACTCCAGGGGCTCAAAGACTAGTCCAACACAGCGGCCTGAATGAGACAATGAACTGATATTATAGACAATAAGTGACTTTGGACAGGACTCCAGGGGCTCAAAGACTAGTCCAACACAGCGGCCTGAATGAGACAATGAACTGATATTATAGAAAATAAGTGACTTTGGACAGGACTCTAGGGGCTCAAAGACTAGTTCAACACAGCGGCCTGAATGAGACAGTAAAACTCGACCAGTCCACAACGTCCATAAACCCTCCCACCCAACCCCCGTTCACGAGTCAGGATCGCGACACACAAAAACTCACCCCGTGTGATTGGGCAGCAGTTTTTAGTAGATAATGAGTATTGCTTCCGAGACAACGTTTTCTTCATTTCCGATACATGTTTTTCTCGTCAGACAATGACGACAAAGCACGCCAGAACGAATAAGTAAAATAAATACCTTTACACGTCTTTCTTAGTGATTGATTTTGGGTACCACTTTCATTATTACTACGCTTTAACAACTATGGTCTTTTAATGCGTCATCAAAAATAAAAATAAAATAAGAAAAATACTTGTCTCTGGTTTGTGTTAGGCTCTCATGAGGAAAGACCGACTGTTTATGTAAAACTTCATGGCATTTTAAGTGGCAGATCCACCGAGTTCCAACTGGTGGTGGTGGTCCAGTGACCACGCTCAACCAACTTATTTAAATGTACGATAAATATCTCATATGAAAACGTTTATATGTAACCTTCCTCAATTGTGGAGAAGACACACACACACACGCACAAAATACTACTACTACCACGACTATTACTAATGCCACTACCTGTTTCCAGTGTATGTATGTACGTATGTATGAATGTTCCTCACTTTCGTCAGCAGCCAGCACTATTAATGAACCCAGCACTATGAACCCAGAACTATTAATGAACCCAGTACTATTAATAAACCCAGCACTATTAATTAACCCAGTACTATGAACCCAGAACTATTAATGAACCCAGTACTATTAATAAACCCAGCACTATTAATGAACCCAGCACTATGAACCCAGAACTATTAATGAACCCAGTACTATTAATAAACCCAGCACTATTAATTAACCCAGTACTATGAACCCAGAACTATTAATGAACCCAGTACTATTAATAAACCCAGCACTATTAATGAACCCAGCACTATGAACCCAGAACTATTAATGAACCCAGTACTATTAATAAACCCAGCACTATTAATGAACCCAGCACTATGAACCCAGAACTATTAATGAACCCAGTACTATTAATAAACCCAAAACTATTAATTAACCCAGTACTATAAAGCCAGCACTATGAGCCCAGCACTGTTAATGAACCCAGCACTTATATACAGGAAGTTAAGGTTACACAAACATGGCCGCAGAAATCGCTTATGCAAATTCATCTGGATTTTGGACCAACACTGGCACAAGTTCAGATACATTCTAGGGCGAGTACATCCCCAATACTTGTTAACAGTGCGTAACAGAGACGTAACCGAAAACTCGAGTGGCTATCAGGCCGATTAGTCACATCAATGTCGATAACGAAGAAGATTACGTAAAGTAAAGTATGGCATCTTGAGCCACCTATTGCTTTTCTAATCTTTTCTTGGTCAACTCAGGCAGACCTGCTCAGGTAAGTTTAGGTTTAGGAGGGAGATAGGAAGAAACTGGTTCACAAATAGGGTGGTGGACGAGTGGAACAAGCTTAGCAACTTTGTAGTAAGTGCTGGAACGCTGGAAAGTTTCAAAAGGAGGCTAGATAGATTCATGGATGATAGAGAGTGGTAGTAACTCTCGACAGGAGCTGCCATGCACAGGCCAACCGGCCTATTGCAGGCTCCTTATTTTCTTATGTTCTTATGTTCCCCTACAAACGCTGTTTGTCGCTGAGTAGCCGACTCCACCAATTCCCCAGTGTATGCCTCGTGGTCTAGGTCAACCAGCGCCGCCATACATCACGGAGCGGGGGTCAACTACTAAGCCACGCCTACCCCCGCTATTTAAGACCTGACCTCGTGGTGACCTGTCCCTTTCTACCCACACCAACCAGCCAGCAACACCTCCTCCTCCTCCGCTGCCTGGCGGCCCTCGCTCCTCCGCCTGCCTGGTGGTCCTCGCTCCCGCCGGCGAGCATGGCGACCCACCAGCTGTCCTCCTCTGAGCATTCTCACCAACCAGCTCTCTCTACATCACGCTTGTAACCACGCTGCCACTTCCCAGCACCAAGCTGAACATAAGAACATAACATAAGAAAGTGGGATACTGCAGGAGGCCGACTGGCCCATACAGGGCAGATCCCTTTCACACCCATCCCAGCACTTCCATGTGCCTATCCAACTTCGTCTTGAAGCTCCCTAGCGTCCCCGATCCTACTATAGCACTCGGTAGTCTATTCCACATATCCACAACTCTATTACCAAACCAGTGCTTGCCTATATCCTTTCTGAATCGGAATTTATCTAATTTAAAGCCATTTGTTCTAGTTATTTCGTTATTACTGAGCTTCAGAACATCTTCCATTTTACCCTTGTTAATCCCACTTACCCACTTGTACACCTCTATCATATCTCCCCTAACTCTACGCCTCTCTAATGAATGTAAGCCTAAGCTTTTCAGTCTTTCTTCATATGGAAGGTTTCTAATATTATGCATTGTACATCCAATACAACATGTATACAGAGAGCACATTGTGAGTTTCCTTTCTCCACCCCATCCTGAGTGTGAACCAAACAACTTTAACCCCACAACTGAAGTGATTTTTTGTAAGTGTAACGTGTTTTACAGCCAAGAGCTTAAAACTGCTTCTCATATTATGAAATGTGATGTTGAATAAACTTGATTACACATCCGTTTTCCTGCGTCTTACAATTTATAATTATTTCAATACAACAATTTTAAGGGTTAGATCTTTTAAAGCAACACTATTCAAGAACTTGTAATAAGGTTTGTGATTGGCTTGAATTTGCGGGAGCTGACCAATAAGCGTTCAGAACAGGTTATTACCTCGGTGACCATGTAAACAAGGCGGGAATAAAAATGACTTAGTGTGTTTATATTCCGGTACTAATATCCAAGTTTTGTTTACCTTGGCACACTAGTTAGGTATATAAGGTAAGTTTCAAGGAACGTTTTGTAGCATTAAGTTGAATATAATTGGTTTTCTGGCGACTGATACTTTGGTCTAAGAAAAATAAGACGTGACCTCATCCCTTGTTAATACGACATCACCAAACCCACATTATACCAACAGACATCACTACTGCCATATCAGGATTTAAACCCACATAGCTCAGATGACAAGCAAGAGTGATTTTGGTTAGTTGAGTTAAGCCTATTTATTATAATGGACTATAGCAGTGATAGGTCTGGTTCAAATGACCTTCACTTATTCTTGCCAATTGGATTATTTGGGTTCATATACTGCAGGCTGTTAGTATCTGTTTATGTCAGGATATGTTTTTCTGATGTGTCTGTAATCCTTGCATATAACTCGGGGATGTGTAAACTACACCCATATTATCTAACTTATTGTTGACTTTGATATGACATTATACTGTGTGATTTTACCATATACAGGGTGTTCCGTAAATACCTTTCATAATTCAGGGGGTGTATTCCTGAGACATAAATAAAGATGAATTACTAAATGACTAAATTGTCAATTCTCAATAGTTTCGGAATTACAGAACATAACTTAACCTAACCTAGGTTAGGTTAGTGGATGCTACAGTGAAAATGTCCCGGTAGACACAACTCCAGCTCGGAAGACTGCATACTAAAGTAGCACCATTTTTTGTTACCTAATAATTACTGGGTAGTATGAATTAGGTGTCATATGTTGAATAGTAAATTATTTATTATACATCGATTTCAAAGTACAGGTACTGTACAATAAACATGAATCTTAGAAAAATTATTTAAAAATTGGAAAATATATCCTGAATATCTTGCCCGGCTGCATCACACTAACACAACCAATGTACTCATCAATGTGTGTTTATTACTCAGTGCAGACGTACCTGTTCTCTCATGACATAATAACACACATTCACGTTATTAGAACAATGCCCAAGCAAGTATGTTTGGGTTTTACCCAAACGAGCAGAAAATGCCTTACCATGAAGGATTAACTTGAAGTGCTGGCCATGATCAACAATTAGGCAGTGGATATTTTGCCGTGGCTGGCTAAGTTCCCATTAACGCTATTTTACCGTGAGTGCGCTAATCAAATCAAAACTACAATGCACAGAACCTATGAGAACCTCACCTAACCTCACCTCACCTACCTACCTACCTACCTAACCTTACCTAACTTCCTAACCTGTGCATTGTTGTTAATATTTTCCTTCTATAATCCAAACAACATCTCTAGAAAAAATTAATGCAGTGGATATTTTGCTGTTTTGTTCGCCAGTAATGGGCGATTAGCCAATCAGAGTGCGCTCACAGTAAAATGGCATTACTGTAGTAGGAACCTAGCTGGTCATGGCAAAATATCCACTGTGCAATAATGAACACCAGGTTCCCAAGATAATGCAAAAATTTGGAACTTTGAATTTAGTAAAAAAGCATATGATAAGTGTGGTACACTTCATATCCACTGAAAATGATAGTGGATCCCATACACACCTACATTATCTTTACTACATAACACGTCGCCACAGTTGTGACAATAACATTAGTTATATGAGCAAGTGCAGGTGCGATAACATTGGAACAAAGCTCTGAAGTGAGATACGCATGCTGTCAAGCAGCGTGCAAATAGGTGACCTGCACAGAGGATGAAAAGGCAGTTTTAGCACATAATGCCAATCTTAAATTGACAAAGTCAAGGGAGAGATGCACTTCCCCAGTGTTTACATTCTGCCTCATCAAGTTTAGCCTGTTGATAGCTATCAGTAATGTGGAATTTACTTAACAAACTAATGAGAGGATTTTAAAACCTAACAAACGTTAACATGGATTATCATAAATTGGGGGATACCTTTATTGTATTTTTTCAGTGTACTGTACTGTAAATGAAAGGGTACTGTAAATATTTATAGAATGTTTTGAATGCTTACTTCAAATGACCACAAATTCTTTTTTACTGTATTGCACTGTATTTCATGACCTGGTAAACAACCGTGGAAAATTCAGAAAGCTATATATCTTGACCTTGTACAAGGCACTGAAATCTAGACCCACTGTCTTCCCCAATTAGTCCAGTTTAACATGGTTTTCCTGTACATAAATTGTTTTGTATACTCATCATTTGTCATTTTGATAAAAGTTTGTGTCTGGTCTACTTACAGATACTCAATAACTAAGATGGATGACACTCAAGAATTGGAGTGTACACAAGTACTATCTGATAACTGGGATGATGAAGGATCTGTCTCAGGTGAACCCTGTCTTGTAAGTTATTAATGCACTACATTTTTTTGTAGGTAAACTCTTTTTTTATTTTTCTGGGCTGTTTTATTGTCCTTTAAAATTATTTATCTCCCTAACTATGGAGTAGGTGGGTTTTTGTACAGGTACTGTACTGCTTAGTACCTGTAATTGTTTTGGCACAGTGTAAGATGACTCCTGTTCTGAGTTAACTCACATTTTATTCATTTCAGTTTTGTGGAGTTGATCCAAGGCCTGTCTTTTGTCTTAAAGATTGGTGCTTAGTTTCTAGGGTATCCCCAGTTGACCGTGCAGTAAATGGATACAGTATCTGACTCAAGTGAGGGAGTGTAGGGTAGAGTTCAGGGCCAGTTGATATGTTCTTGGGTGAGTATGTACAGATTGTTCATCTCTGATTGCAGAAGAAGTGGGAGATGTAATCACCTGTGAATTTTATGACTTGGTGTCAGGTATGACGATTGGTGGACTTAAGCTCGGATTCCATTCACACGATAGTGCCAAAAATAGATCATATTGAAATGTACACGGTTGTTTCCATTGGCACGGTTGCGTTAGCAGTAGCGTTGGCATTATGTGTTTGCAGTACACTTCAATCGCTCCCTGTAGTGATTGAAAATGCAACCGCTTGGAAACGGACGAGGAAATCCCACACTGTGACGTCTCTAGTTCCTGTTTCATACACTTACTCTCCTCACCCAAACATCAGATATTCTTGCCACAGCTATGCATTTCACAAATATGGAAGGGGAAATGTGACCAACAGAACAATTTCATTTTATACAGTATTTATCTGATGTGTTCTTAGAAACTTAGCAACTGTTTCATCAGCTCACTCAGTGTATATCCCAACAAAAATATCTATTTTTGTAATGATTTATATTATACGTTTAGACACCTAGCAAGTGTTATTTAATCAGGTAATTAAGTATGCATCACTCTTTATATATCATTTTACCAGATCCATACATTTTTTACACATTTGTCTCTAAAATGTAGGTTCGTGGTCTCAATAAAAGGTTTCTTTGGAGTACAAATGAACTTATACAAAACCAGGATAATTAATAGCAAATCATCCTGTTCATATAAATAGCGTAGTAGCTTTGATGCGCTGGGAGCCATCCTTCCTGTCCTGCAAATGGAAACGGGTGTCCATTTTCCAAGGCAATTTAACGCAAACGCATACTGCAAACGAATACCGCAAACGCATACAGGTACAGTATATGGAATCCTAGCTTTATGGTCTGTGTTCCACGACATTGAGATAATGTATCACAGGGTAGCTGAGGTGGTTGGGAATGGTTTGTGTGGAACTGTTATATGTAAAATGAAGGTCAGAGAGTTTCTACCCCTTTTATTTGACTAAAGTACTGTATAGAGAAGTTATTCACATGAAGATGTAGGTAACTGTTGGTCAGCCAGGGAACAACAGTGGTTCATTCTTTCTAGAGGTTTAAAAAATTTTGTTTGAATTAGTGTTATGTAATGCAAATTTATTTTGAATTTGCAGTAACCCTGAGGATCATAGAATGATTTTTAAGTTGTTCATATTATTTTTGGCTGTCAAAGTATCACATTTTCATCAGATTTTAAAACTGGGTGTTTCTTAGAAAAAAAAGTATGCAGTTTTCATTTACTCAGTATTTGTATTTACAGTCCTGTATTTTGTATTTATTTTAATATGAAAATCATGTTGCTTTTTGATGGACTATACTGTGGAGTAGCTGCATTAATTTCTTGATGCACAGTACTTCTTTTGTTGATTATTTGTACGTTTGTAAACTGCTGAAAATTTTCCTCCTCGTTGATGTGCATTATTGTTTATTTTTCCAAGTACAGTAACTATTGTAGGCTGTTGTTGTTGGTTGTACAGTATAGTTAGTCAACTCAAAACATCAGCATCATCAATTGACATATAATAAGACTTTCCTCAATTTTGTTGCAGCGGCAGTACAAAACACCATTTTCAGGTGCGCCAGTAATAAACACAATATATTGTACTAATTTGGGATGTACAGTGCCTGGTAACTTTATTTTATCAGATGTTATATACTGTACATTACAATACTAAAATTACTCACTGTGTAAGACTTTCAATTGTTGCCTTACATTCATGGTATTACAGGATACACTACATGTATAGCACTTGTATTATCTTTTACAGTATGTTCTCTTCAACCTTATATTTCTTAACCATTCCAAATAAATATATATGACTGTACTCTACTTTATTTTTGTTAGGCTGGTTGGCTGGAAGTTTATGGAATTCGTCATGACATTTATGAAGGAGAAACTAAGATTGGGCGTGATGCAGCGTCGTGTAAGATAGTGTTACAGCATAAGGTGAGATACATTGAAGTTTTTGTACTTTATTTTGAATTTTGATGATATTATTGATTTGTCATACAGTATTGTGTTTTCTGATTGGAGTCTTAATTACATAAATAGACTCATCAGAGGTATACAACTAGAAACATAGAGATTTGTGTACAGTCCTGTACAGTATTCCTTTTACTGTATTAACTGAAATTAGGGTAATTTTGTATGTAAGCATTCACTGACTTATGTTGTGCCAAACAGTGCCATTTTGATTCAAGGGTGTTTAATAATATAAATCACTGATGTCTGATACAGTGTCATTTTGAATCTCGTGTGCACCAGAGTGGTGCCTGCCTCACTCACGCATTCCCAGCCCACCAAAATTTAGTCTCACGCTTTCTGCCTTGATGACAACATCTTCCAAACAGTCCTACTGGTATTGTACCCAAGAAATACCATCTTTCCATCAGTTTAGATGTGAAAATTCAGGAAATGTTGAGTCTGGAGAGAGAGAGAAAGAGGCTGGGGACAAAGCAGCACCTGGGAAGACAGAGGCAGAGGAGAGACAGGCTGGGGAAGAGAGTAACCTTTACAGTCATGTAACAGAGGAAAATAATGTTTCTTTAGACATACAGTAAGCCCTTGATAATTTGTAATTCGATATAACTCGGAATTGTAGTAAAATATTCAACTATAAATTATTTTTAAACTACGTACTGTATTTTTTTACACAATTCACAATATTCCGAGATATGATGACACAATCTCAGAATGGCTTAATACCTGCAGCCCACGTGGAATGCATAGGAGGCTCTGCCCAGCCAGCTGTTCAGTTATGCGTTGGTAGGCCTAGTGAGAGGATACCCACTTGCAGTCGCTCTACTTATTTTCACGTATTTTGTGCAAAGTGCTATTCCACCCAAATTGAAAATTTTGATTATACTGTACAGTATATGTACAATACAGTGGTATTTAAGTGAATAATAACATTTAAAGTTGGTGGTGTAAGTGCTTACAATACAGAATTGTACTAAATATACTGTACTGTAGTGCAGTGAGTCCCCCATCACCTGTGACACCTACCACATGGCACCCCAAGCTTGAATTATTCTCATGCTTTGCCTGCAGTGCTGGTAAGTGTTAATTTTTTTGCAAGTTTTCAGATTATGTTACAGTAGGTTATTTGGGCCAAAAAGTTGGCTGTTGGGGTGAGGCGAAAGACTGGGAGGAAAGTACCTTGATAACTCGAAATAGTTAGAGCCCCATATACAAGCAGTATCTCTGTTAGCTGGAATCCCTCAAACCCGGAACTCTCCTATAGCCGGAATTGAAATTTGTTTCTGTAAATTGTTCCCAAAGCTGGAATTTTACGGAAATTCCAAAATTATATTCCGGTACCCAGAAAATTCTGGGGATGATTTTTTTTTTTTTTTTTATAAGAGAGAGAGAGAGAGTTGTCTCGTTACCCGGAAATCTCTCATTCCCCGAAGTGCTCTACACCAATTGTTCTGTCTAACGGAGATATTATTGTATTCAGTGATATCTCCATTAGCCGGGTAAAGAGACAACTCTTTTAAAGCTGGAAAAAATCCCTCATCCCTGGAACCCGAAGCAGTAGACTGATGCATTATTCTGTCCATAAATGCTTCGGATTCAAGAGTCTGAATCTCGGGGTTCATGGTTCGCGACAGGACTTTTTTGGGTAACTGTACCTTTATTACTACCTCCTTTTTTTTTCTTTTTTTTTCTGTCAAATATTCATAATTCACTGTTGAGCGCCAGCTACCACAGTATATATTTACACAAGATACCATAAAAGTTGTGGAAATATAATTTCATAACTTTAATTTGACTTAAGAATAGAACAAAATTAATATAAATATCACTTCAATACTCTGATGAAAATATAATATAAAACTATAAAATAAGAAAAATTAAAAGTTGTACAGGTTTGTGAATTGGGTGGAGGACTGGGCATCCCTTCCCTCTGCTAACCCCCATTTCTGAGCCAAGCGCGCACCTCTAACTTCATTAAGACAACCTTGTGTAATTTCACCATAATTCCCATATTACAGGTACAAGTATTTTGGTTCATAAACATTATAGTAAACTAATCAGTTTTCACAAAAAGAAAATCATGAACTCAACCTCAGATGAGTTGTGTGGTATTAAATCCCTGGTTCTTTGTTAACATAGTATTGGCATTACCCACACAAAATTATGGAAAGGGAAGGAGCTGGTAGTGTAATGTAGAGCTACTTTTTGTACAATATCAATGTGTTACTGTTTTTGTTATTATAATTATGTACGATTTTTAGTGTTTATTAAGGCAGTTTTGGACCAGTTTATGGATATTTCTTGGCCTCTGAAACTAAACTAATTACAGTACAGTACAGTACTTGTATTCCCATTTAAATTGATTAAGCTATTATTCACAATGTCTTCTGGTACCTCACCCATGAATTGTCAAGACTCCACTGCAATGTACTGATCATTCATCATATGAAAAGTGAACTGTGAGATTCCCTCCTACAGAACACTCCATGGCAGAGTCTGCCTATTCCAGGGGTTGGTACTGTACTGTATTTTGAGGTAGGGACATTGATCTTAGCAGATCAGTGCTATGGGATCTTAAACACTTACTCTTCTGGTGAATCGGTATTTAGTGAAGGTGTCCTGGGTTCAGTCCCTTTTCTGGATTAGATGTCCAAAGTGTAACCCTCCCAAACATTGAAGGTTTTCTGCTGATGCTCTAGTTTCCTCCTGGACTAATATTGGGCAATGAAGGTATAACAAAGAACAGGGTGACTGACTGAATGATTAATAAGTTGATCAGTGTTGAAATGATAAATAAAAAAAATAAAAAAATAAATAAAGATAAATCAATCAAGGTGAACAGCTACTGTAACATTCATGCATATGTTTAATCTGTGGTTAATTGAACTTTTATTTCTCAGGTTCTCTCCAACCAACATGCTGTCATTGATGTTGAGGAAGGCCTACATACCATTGCAGACTTGGGTAGTAGGAACAAAACCAGACTTGGGAAGGTGAGTTTTGGATCCTTTTCTGTCTATGTTTGTAATGTCTTTATTGTACGTAATTATTTTACTTAGAACACGTTGTACTTGTAACTAAATTTTTATCTTCATTTTTTTTTTAGAGAGAATATTACATTTCTTTTATAGTTGTACCTTTGATAAAAATATTGTCACATGTATTGCATTGTGAGATATTTATTTGTGTAAAAATGAAAGCCTTGGGGATATAGAAAACAGGTCCAATAAAAATGATAGAATGGTGTTTGAATCTTTTGTATATAGAGCTGCCCTTGAGTATAAGTGCAACACTAAATCTTTGGATGTTATCCAGTGTGACCTTACCAAACTTTGTAGGCTTCCTTTTGTAGTAACACTGGACAGTAAAGTTCATAACAACTTAACAAAGAACAGGCCAGTGGCTTGTAAACTAATAAGTGGTAAAATGAAGATTGAATGGTATGTAAGAGCTTCCATACATACTGTTATTCTTTAAAGTCTTTGGTGGATTATGTTAAAATGAAATTTGTATTGTTAAGTGGTATTCAAAGTGTTGAAGTGGCAAGGTAATAATTGAATCTAAAACATTGGTAGTCACTGAAATCAATATCACTTATGATAATTCATTTGAGAAAATAAGCCACTGTGTGCCTACCAGACTATCTAAAATAATTAAGTCTCAACATGTACAAGATTATCCGATGATATTTAATTAGCTGCCTGAAAAAATTATCACCTTTTCCTACTTTTCAAAAGTATCGATCAGTCCTCCACATTTCTTGTAAAAATTTTCTTCTATGATGCTGAGTAGCCAGAAACGAGCAAACTTAAACTCCCTGCATTTGTTGTACGGTATTTTGATTTACACTTAGTTCTTGTAAAATATGTATTTCTCTATAATGTTCCCCATCCAGAATAAGAAACCAAATAATATTTTTTTTTCTCCCTTTAACTATGCAACAACTCATCAAAATTAGGTCACAGTGACTTGTAAACTGTTTACTTTATCTTTGTCACAGATTCATCATCTCTTAAATAATTATCATGAAATACTGAAGTAAAACTTTGTCGAGTGCTACAGGTCATGTTGTAGTGGCTGCCTATACAGCTACTCCCCAACTTACGACCTACTCGACTTACGACCACCCGGACATACGACCTCCTCAGTCGTACCAAAATTTTGTCAAATTACGTATTTTTGAGTTCCAACGTCAGTGATTGCGCTGTGTACTGACAAAATTTTTGTTTATAATTCACTTTAAAATGGCTGGCATGCTTAAAAGTGAGAGTTTTGTGGTGCTGAGAAGAAAAAGAGACACCCATTTTAGATTTTCTATGTAGTGTATTATTTAAACATTTTCGACTTACAACCATTTCGACTTACGACCTGGATTTGGGTCCCTAATCCCGTCGTAGGTCGGGGAGCAGCTGTAGTGTCAGCTGTTTATTTTTTACATATAATATACTGTACTATTTAATGTTTCCTGATATGTGTCGATAATTATTTATGGGTTTGATTTGTTTACATACTGTATGTTTTTATTGTTTTCTAGATGATACTGAAGCCCAATGTACGGTATGCCTTGCAAGGTGGAGAAACTATCACATTTGGGAATGTACAAACCAAGTACATAGTTAAACCAAAGGTAAGAAATGGTATATAAAACTTATTCATGTCAGATTATCACCTCATTATTGTACTCTTAAAATCTTTCCCCCGATAAGAGAATCATGAAGAAGAGATTTTCATCCTGGTAGCACCAAACAGTTTGGTGACCCATTTACTTGTCATGAATGAATAAATGCTTTTTATTCCTCTAAAGGGCTGAGGATGGAATTCAATACCAAGTGATTTTACATCTAACAGAATCATCTGCTGTACAGTGGCCTTGGTTTATTTTGTGATTTTTTTTCATTGTTTTATTTCAGGGCTACCTAAATTGCTACAGTACAGTATTATCATTTTCCTAGATATCACAAGAAACTTTATATTGTGGAAGAAAAACCGGGCTGAAGGCATTTCAAAGCAACCACCGCCTCAATTCAGCTGCTGCACTCTCAATCAGATGTCACTCAGCCAGTGCTCACTTAGTTAACGACATTTCCTCTTACTTAATTCCACAATACCCTTTGATTTTACCACATGCACAACTTACCAAGATGTCTAAATGCTCAGCAGCTGCTGCTGCTTCTCTTTCCAGTTCAAGTGAGAAGAAGTAGAGAGAGAGAGGTTTAAGTTAGAGGCAAAAATTAAAATCTTGGGTGAACTTGATCTTGGATTGAGTGCATCAATTTTAGTACTGTACTGTATTTCAAAATGGAATAAATTAAAGCACGACTAGATTCGAACAGCATATATACAGCCTAGTATATCTAAGACTATTCAGCATTCAAGGCACCAGTGTATGAAGAAATAGAGACTGAAAATTTGGATAATGAATATGCAAAGATATACGGCATGCCCTGATAATTCTCGGATTTTTAATTCCCGGACCTCACTTATTTGCGGATGACATCCTGGATATACCCAAGAATGTCTGAGGGTAGTTTTAAAGTTGCTGGCTTTTTCGTGGCTGGGACAGGGAGCCATTCGTTTTAGAAACAGTTATTTCTTATACCTGTATTGTATACAGTATATGTGTGTGTGTAGACACACACACACACACACAAAACACATACAAATAAATGATAATGGGATAAAATCCTCTCACAAATAATCAGAAACAAAACAAAATATGTTAAAAATGTGATAGTCTACCCTCAAGTCAACTCCGTGCAAGCCAGCTAGTGACAATAAATTCACAAAACCTTTACTGTTTATTTTGTTTTTATAGGCGTGTTGACATGGACAGACTATTGTGGTCACTGATGCCAGATCTGTGGGATGCTTAGTCATTTGTAGGCAGCAGGCTGGATTCAGAGTTGCTTAATCCTGACATGGGTTGTAAATGGAAATTCCTGGGTACGAAAGACAGTAAAGTTGCATTTATTTCAGGAGGTTCAGAACAATGACAGTGGGTCAGAGACTGGATCAGAATCTATGTTTTTGTTGGATGGTTCTGAAGACAGACCCACCTCACCTGTATCCACTCATCGATTATCAGGTATTTGAATATGATATTTTTAGTGATTGTTCTCATTGATAGATGTGCAGCAGGTTTGGTGTTGTTGGTTTAATATTCCTCCAGTTTCAAGATTATTTTTATGGTGCTTTAGGTAGTGTGGCTTGGAAGAATTACCCCAGGTGGATGGGGAGTATCAAGTCATAATATTTTCCCTGCCTTATCTTGGAAATTATTGTTGATCCACTGGCGATGAATATGGAACAGTGGGTATGCTTTTTGAATTCTGTAATCGTAAAACTAGTTTCAGCACATTTATGGCATAACACCTTTGAAGAGAAAATTTTGTCATGCTTTCATGAAGACCTTCATCTTCACCTGAATAATAAAAATAACTGGTACGGTACAGTACAGTTATATGTTGCTTATATTATGGCTTTTTCCTGACCACTGGGGTTAGTAATACAGACTTTTTGCTGTGAAAAAGCCATGATATAATCAACATATTACTGTACTCAAATGTACTACGGTAAAAGAATACAAAATTTATCTCCTGTGCAAAGTATGAGATGTTTATAGTGATTAATTTTAGTATAAACATCCCATAGTTTGCACTAGAGATAAAAATTTTAGTCCTTTACCATAGTATATTTGAGTACAAATTGAGTACAGTAATATGTTATTCAAAATTATGGCTTTTTAGTACATTTGAGTACAGGTTATGATAATTGTAATGATTTTTCCACAACGTTGTGGATCTGCATGAGAGAGAGAGAGAGAGATCGTGTGTAAGCCTACCCAGCCTCCTCTCAGTGGAGAGGTTTGGGTGAAAAAATTGCCTTATTATCTGCCTTGTCATGTAATGTTGATGTCAAATTATATATAATATTTTTTCTCTCGTGTTTAATATTTTATATTATTAATGATAAAACATACACCAGCCAGCCTCCCTCCCTCCTTCCCTCCCCCCTCTCTGCCTCCCTTCCTCCTTCCCTCCTCCCTCCCTTCCCCCTTCCTGCCTCCCTCCCTCCTTCCTTGCCCCCCTGCCTCCCCCCAACTCACAGTGTCTCACACACAAAAGACTTTAAACTCTAGATGTTGTGTGTGGGGTGTTGGGGTATTAATAATAACTGGCCTAAGGTTAAAAATGCTTTGAAAGCATTTGAGGTGGCAGTAGGTTAGATGATCAATGGGTCTCACGTTTTTGACCTGACCTGTTGTTATGTCACCCATTTTTTTATAAGCACTTCTTTCTTTTGCAGTGGAGGTGGTGTGATGATTAGTGGATCCCATGTTATTGACCTGACCTGATGTTATGTAAGGTCACTCATTTTATATAAGCCTCTCTCAGTCCCTGTAAATTCAGTTGGCTCTGAAGATTTCTTGAATAAGGACAAAAGCTAAGGTGCTCCAGTGCAGTTAGTTGATCGAGAGGTAACAGTGAACAACACACTCTGGTAACAGGACACAGACCGAGCAGATGTAAACAAATCTGATGTGCCAAGTGACGTGTGGTGCGTTTGGTGCAGAATTTAGTGAAACACGGTAGTTTGGTAAATCAAATGAAAATAACGAAAATTTGATTAAGCGGAAATTTTGATTTAACGGAAAGGGGTGACTTGAATTAGTTCATTAAATCGATAAAATACTGTACAATAAAGATCACAAAAGTGACAGATTGTATTTATCAGCATGTATTAAATAATATTGCAGTGGATTATGCATCTGCATATCCCTTGTTTATTCATTAATCAGTTGTCTAAGTGTACAAGTAGTTAAATTGCGCCATCATGGATCATTCAAAGGTAAGAAATAACATTGTTAGGAAGGTAAATCCACATCAAATACTATACAGTATGTTATAGTAACACTGTTGTAAGCTGGTTTGCTGAAAGCTCTCTTACAAACACATCCTGGGTAAATACCTTCCGATTTACTCATAGCTTATCCTTTTATTTTCAAGTTAAATTACAAATTCAGGGGCTGATCCAGGAATATCAAAAGGAGGGGTCCTAGAAGTTGTGGGTGGGGGAACATGGCGAGCATAGCAAACCCTCACCCAGCTGGGGGGGTTTGGGAGGGGTGCTGTAAGCCCCCAGAAATTTGTTTAACTCGACCAATATCTTGGGCGATTTGGTGCCAATTTGAAGCCGTGTGCACTTGATATTTGGAGGTAGTCAGAGGTCAATAATGATTACTTATTACTATACAAAAATGCCTGAGTACAATATTACATTAAAGAAAAAATAATGGAATTTTTTTGATGAAGAGGAGGGGTCCAGACCCCCAGCATCCCCACCCTGGATCTGCCCCTGAAATTACATTTTTTTTTTCTATTATTGAAGATGTTATATTAATCATGATGAATCATACTCCATATGGGACTGATGATACAAGAATATAATACACTAAATCAATAAATAAACCTCCCCCCCCACCCTCCGCAATCCCCAGCATGATTACATACGCAGTGTCTTAGCTCTCATTAGGCCTACAGTAAATCTGATTAAACTACTGTACATATTCAGTGAGCAAGTGTTGTTCTTTTTATAACTTTTTTTTTTAACCATTTCTTAAAATACTGTATATACTCAACATTATTTTAACCTATTTCTTAATACCGTCAAGTTTCTCCGCTAAAGATACTATGTACTCTACATAAAAAGTTCACGTAAATGAGTGAAAGTAGCGAGGTGTGGCACACTAATATTATTCATATGAAGGCAGGACTCAGACTGAGACATGTGCCGTGTGACATCCATGCAGACATTCAACTGTATGTATGAATACACAAACCGTCTGAACTGTTGCTGTATTTTCTGGACTTTTTTCAATATTTTTTTTTATACATAGCTCAGCTATTATAAAGGGAGTTTATGGGAAAATGTGATTTGATTTACGGTCACTTTATGTAAGGTTTTTCACGAATGGAACCCTTTAGTAAATTGGGAGTGCCTGTACCCGTACAGTACTTGGAAATCACAAAATTACTACTCTTTACTAGAATTCTTAATGTTTATTTTGTCTTTGGTAAGTATGTAAGATTTCAGTGTTTTATTAAAGAATATCCTTTTCTAGACATCATACCTGCGACCCCTGCAACTACGAGGGCACACACAACCACAACCGGCAGTGATGGGAATTTATTTGTATCTGAATCACCATCAACGTCACAGAGTACACCCTTTCCAGACAAAAGTACCAGGATGACAGTGTCAGAGTCTCCAAACAATTTATCAGCTATACGGGTCATTATTTTAATTTTGTTTGTATATTTTTGTTGACAAAGGAAATAGAGGCAATTGTTACAGTAACTTAAGATATACCGGTATTATTTGAATGACTGGAATTCATCTAAATATGATTGCAAGGAGCCAAAAATTTAGTACATTGTGTCCTCCATTTGTGATATGCTCTATACATTCTTGTCATCCATTCTATTGATTTTCTTCTCATATTGTTATGACCCCCTCTAGAGTAGAACAACAGTGGTCCACAAAATTACTTGACATGTCCATTTAATTAAATTTTAATATTAATCAAAAGTTTCCACAAGCCAAAGGGACTAACACCCTAGTTCACAAAGGGATTACATTCTTAATTTAACAATAATGCTGTCATCTGAATTAAAACTTTTTTCTTTCAGAATTTGGATGAGGATAAGGATGGCAGCTCGTTCTTCTTTGAACCCTCTCAACCTCCCAAAGCGAAACCAACCAACACACCTGAATATTCAAATGCTAAACCTGGCAGGGTTAGTTTTGAAAAGTCTGAAATTGAAGAGTCCATTAGTGATGCGAGCACTGATATTGAAGATGATGAGGTACCACCGCAGCTGTTTGGTGAGAATGAATGTCAGAATGTCTCTAATACTTCTCACACAACAAGCAGGGATAAAGACAACACTAAAGAAGGTAGTGAAGGAGACTTGCCAGATTCTAAAGTAATGGGTGCACTCAATGATAAGGATAGTGAAACTACAGGTGATTCTGAAGAGACTAAGAATAATAATTCTAACACTAATATTGAGGAAGACATTTTCAATCAGCCAACTCAAGCTTTCTCCATCGTAGAGAAGTCTCCAAAATTGGCAGGAAATATCAGTGACAGAAGTAACTTATCACCTATTCAAAAATATATTGACTCTACACAGGAAATTATGGAAGCTTTTGAACTTACAGATGAAAAAAATATTGATGATGATGATGATGATACGGATGATGAAACATTACTGCCCACACAGCCTTTCATTGCAAGTCAAAGTCCTACTTGTAACAAATTTCAAAATGTGGATGATGATGTACCCACTCAGTTGTTTTTGGATAGTGAAGATTTTGTATTTAAGAAGCCTTTTGCCACAGTACCCAAATTAAAAAACAAAATTGCAGATTCTTCAGCAACTGGAAAGGATGATGACATTCCAGATGAATTGCTTAGTGAAACTACCAATGGTGATATTTTAGATACTCCCACTCAACCATATTTATATGACGACCAACATGAAACAGCAAAATGCAATGACAGTATTCTGGATGCTCCAACCTTGCCTTTTGATGACACAAGCAGGATTTTACAAAATAAAAAATCTGACGAAGATGATGATGACGATGATGATGACATTGAGAGTATATTCAATCAACCTACTCAGCCTTATTCAGCTATTGATAATGATACCTCCTGTAATGAAGATGCACCCACTCAGTACTTTGATCCAGTACCTGAAAATGAGATATCCAGAGAAGAGAATAAATCTATTAAAAGTGAGGATGAGTCAGACATATTTAATCAGCCTACTCAGGTATATTCAGCACCCAACGATGATACTGATGTAGATCCCAATGCTTTAACTCAGCCATATGCTGATGAACCAGAAAACAAAGGTGTTAAAGAGAGCGCATGTGCAAAGAGAAGGAGCATCACTTCTAAGCAAATTTTATCCCCAGTTCCTACTGGAGAACACGTTATGGCAGACGATATAAATGATGATTTACCCCCTACGCAGATATTTACTGTACATTCTCCAGTGACTGAAGCACCATTACCCGCAGCAGCAGATGATAATGATATTACCCCAACTCAACTATATGTACTTGAAACTGATAAAAATAAATTATTCCCAACACCTACTGGAGCACATGATATGGCAGACAATATAAATGATGATGATGATGATGATTTACCCCCTACGCAGATATTTACTGTCGATTCTCCAGTGGCTGAAGCACCATTGCCAGCAGTAATGGATGATGATATGGTCCAAATGAAACCTACTCAAGTATTTACTGATGATAGTAACAAGAAAGTTGATGGACCTCCACATTCAACACCTGGTGACACTAGGCAACACAGTAAGGAGCCACTACGGGGTATTTCTCAGACCTGGGGTAAGTTGGATGCTGAGGTAACACAGGATATATCCCTTGATAGTTTGTCAGGCATTAAGGAAACAGGTTCAGACCCTAGAGAATCTAAACTAATGTTGGAAGAAAAGGATAAGTTTAAGGATACTAACTTAAATGATACTTTTTCTGATGCATCTGAAACATTGTTGAATGATAAGCAAATAGAGGATGAAGATGATGAATATCTCTCAGACTTAAAATACAAAAACGATAATAATGCTTCTTCATCTTCCAAAGGCAATTTACTTTTTAAAAGTGAATCAGAAAAATATGACCTTGATCAAGCAGGAAAGAAGATAGAAAATATAATGAAAGATGATGAAAGTGATAATATAGTTTGTGGGATGAAAGAACACATAAACAAGAATAGTAATGAAGTACCAGTAGTTGAACAAATGAAGGAGGATTATAATTCAGATGAAAGTACTGATATTGAAGACGAAATTTCAACCAGACATAAAATTGTAAAGCTTATTTCGAATGCATCTTCAACCCCAATGAAAGAAAGTGTAAAATCATGTCCAGAAACTGCATATAATTACAAAATGACTTTTGAGTTTAAGCGAGGGTCAAGAATGGCTCCTGTTGCTGTGGCATCAACAGCAGCTAGGCACTCAACCCAGGATTCTGATACCTCAGTTGATTTAACATATTTAAAGTTCAGTCTTCCTGATAGTGAAGAAAATGAAAGTCAAGAAAATTTTTTTGAAACTTCACAAACTCCAGGAAAAGAGAGGAAAGTTACTGGCCCTCACGACCCACAAGCTCTTAGCAGTAGTGATTCTGAGGATGTTGGGTGGAACATCTCCCAAAGGTTATTCGAATTATCTCCAGAATGTGATGGTGTAAACAATGAAAAGGTAACTGATGGTGAAAATACAAACAAAATTGAAGATAATGCTTCAGAGAAAGCTGAAGTATTCAGGAAAAGTTCAGACATTGGTCAAAAACATCAAGACCAAGAAGGCAATACTACTTTATTGAAAAGGATAGAAAAGGGTAACCCCAAAGAACTAAAAAAACTACTTGATGCTGGAGAAATAAACAATGAACCAAATAATAGCATTAGGAATGAAACTGTGTGTGGCAGTGGTTTAGGAAATTACTTTTCTCCTATAGTAACTCCAAAGAGAGTAAAAGGACAAAGGCCAACAAGAAGAATACGATCATCTTTATCATTTGATAATGTAAGTGATGATAAGTTTGATGCTAAAAGAAAGACAAAAAGAAAAACTTTATATAATGATGAGTCGGGGAGTGATATAAGCGATAAATTTTCTGGATTTGATGAATCCTCTTGTGAAAGACAAAAGGAATGTACTACAGACAAGGTAAATGAAGAAAAACCAAAATCTGAATCCAGAACAGTACAGGAAGTTATAACAAAAGCAAGAATGAAAGATGATGAAATTTCGTCAAATGCATGTGAGGGTAAATCTTCAGAAGCGGGGGTGACCACTGCTAGTGATGATTATGTGGAAGACCAACAGCAAATGAAAGACAAAATAAAGGAAACAGAGCCAAACAAAAGTGATAAGCAGTCATTAACCGGAAGACAGACTAGGAGAAAAGAGAAAGAAAATAAAGAGGGTCTATTGCCTGTAAGAGTTCAAAGAAAAAGTAGTAGAGTTATGAAAATTGAAGTTGAAGAAAAAAATTCACCAAAACATAAGACAAGGATACAGACCAAGGAATCAGACTGTGAACCATCAAGTAAACAATTCTCTGCATCTAGGGGCAGTGTGGCAGGAGTAACAATAGATGATGTTCAAAGCTCTCGCCGAAGTGGTCGTAAAAGAAACAATTCTGATGCCAGTAATTTAAGTCACCTCAGTAGCATCAGTAACCAAAGTACATCAAGGAGGAGTATTCCACACACAAGGTCTTCAAAAGATCATGTTAAGGGGGGAAGAAGTCAGGCACATAATATTGATGAATGTAAACCTGTTGTCTCATCAGTGGAACTTAAAGAAGATGAGAGTAAAGTTAGGGAAAGTAAGATGGAAGTTTTAGGTAATAGTCCTTCTGTTACTGAAGATAATAGAGAGCCTGAAAAGAAGCCTGATTCGGCTCTGGGGGAAAATAGTGCAAAATCAGGTGATAAAACAAAATCTATTAAAAAGCAGACACGTAGAAGCAGCAGGAACCCTGAGCCTCTGGTAATAAAAAGTGGCAAAAATAAAGCAAGTAATAAGGAACATACAAAAGAGGACGTTCTTAATGAGAATACATGTAGTAGTAAAATTATAATACAGGAAGATTCAAATGCAGAGTTGAAGAAACCAGACAACTTGACTGAAGGACTGGCCAGGACAAGTAGAGTTCGCAAGGTACCAAAGAGATTTTCCCCAGGTAAAGATGTTGCTCATGAAACGTCACAAGCAACCTCAACTAGAAGTAGAGGACGGCTTCGGAAATTGGATATTTCAGAAGTTTTGCTTGAATCCTCGACTGAAATATTACCAGCAAAAACAAGGAGGGGGTCAGCCATACCTAAATTGCATGTATCTACTGCAACAGAGAACTGTGAGTTAGAAATATTGCCAGCAAGGCAAAGAAGTAATACAAAATTAAGTTTAGCCACTGATGACACTGAAAAAACAAAAAAATCAGCACCAGTTTCCAAAAAGAAATGCAAATCTACTTCAAAAAATCCCCAAAATCTAGAAGAGAAATCAGAAGCTACTCAACATGAGTCTACAAATCATCAGAGCAAAAAGAAACAGACACAAACTGCTCGTAAAGCTAGAGCCAGTATCGCTACACCCCTTCTTACTTTTAAAGAAGATCCTGTTATTCCAAAGAAACTAAGGCATAGTATTATTGTGCAGCAGAAAATAAATGAAGATAGTAAAAATATTGCAGAAGTAAAAAATATACAAACAAAAGATAAGAAAACCAAAATGAGTGCCAAGGAGAAAGTTACACTAGAGGATAAGAGCAAACCTGCAGCAGCTGACCAGTTACACATTTCTAAGAAGGAAATCCTAAAACAAGGACAACTTAAAAGAGGAAATACTAATGACAACTCAGAAGAGGAAACCGGATCAAGTCAGTCAAGTGATGATAGTCACGTTTCACTGAGATCCAAGAGGATGAGAGGCAGTGGTTACTCCAAAGCCCCGTCATCGTCTTCTTCCAGATCTTCAAGGAGTGGGAGAAGTAGAATGGTGAGTTCATTCCTCGTAATATTACCCTATGTGCTGTTTTCAGGTGCAGGGAAGTTTTCTCACTTTGTTATATCAACTAGATACCTTATCTCTCAGGTGCCTTAGTATTTGCATTTCTCCCCAACGTATTCATTCTCTTTGTTTATACAGTAAATTAACTGTGTTCTTTTTCTTCTCTTCTCCATACTATTTCTCTTGTAATGAACGTTGGTGATTCATTAAATAACCACAGAGCTATAAACCAAGTTATCTGTGCCAAATTATCTAAAGAAAATAAAAGGAAATGTTTTGCTAAGATGAAGTGCAGAATACCAATTTCAAGTTAGGTCAAAGGTTTAGGTTTATCAGTACGACACCTGAAGAAATGTTAATCACTGTGAGACCGAAGTTAATTTGTTGATGGGCTGATAGCCGCTTGATATTACTTGCATTGTGGGCTGTCTATCAAAATTTAAGTCAGAGGTGAAGAGCTTTTTGACTGTTCTTTATGAAATTTTAGGGAATGATCCAACTTATTGCAATGATGTGCACAAGACCAGTTCAAGTCTAATTCATAGGTTAAGGCTATAGAAGGGTCAAAGGTCCAATGTTTGTCACACATTTTGTCAGCTGGATATCACAAGAATTAATAGTCATTGCCACACCAAGTCTGACTTATAATTGCAAAGATATCAGCTTAAGATCTCATTGCTTGGAGTGTAAGATAAAGTGAAATATAAAATAAATCTGGTTGGTAATACATGTGCTACAGGTATAATAGAAAATTAAACTCACGTTCGTTTAAGTCCCCTACAGTTTTCACTATTTTTTTTCCTCATACTTGAGTTAGAGGGATGTAGAAAGCATCTTAAAATGTTTAGAATCAATTGCAGTGAGTATGGTGATGCTGGGAGACAGAGCTAACCCACACTTTATGGTTTGGCCAGTCACTTCATGTTGTGATGTGCAGGTGCTTACCCTCATTTCACTTCATTCCCACGTCTCTCAGTACTGTATTTCATTTCATTGCTCCTTCCTTAAATATCATATAAATATTCATACTACTGTCTTGCCATTAGTATCTAATTCTCATTTTCTTGTCCAATATTTTCTCATTGTGTGTTTTCTGTATAATAATTTGATTTTTTAATTTAGTATTTGAGATTCACTTGTGTGTTTGGCAGGGTTCACCATCTCAGAAGGACATATTGCTGTGGTCACCATCCCAGAGGCAGCAACAGGCCAGTACTAAACCAAGAGTTCTCTTCACTGGCTACAAGGATACGCTAGATGAAAAAATTGTTACTGACTTGGGTATGATATGACACATACTTCTGGATAATTCTTGGCCGTGTTCTAGAATATTTTGTAAAATGTCTCTGGGTTATACGAAATTGGGCCTGTGAGATTACTAGCCTGAATATCCTCAAGGAAACCTGCCTCTTTCAGGGGTTTACCTTAATTTTTGAGGCAGCTGTACTGTCCTATTGGATCTAAACAATTGCTGCATAAATCACCAATTGCCCAGTCAAACCAGGGTAATGAAGTAAACCCTGACCCAGATCTGAGGATTGCTGTGTGGTGAATCATTGGGTACAGCATGCCCTTAAAATTTGCGGGGTTTAAGTTCTCAAAATGGTCGCGGATAGCCAAATTCGCGAATAACATTTGCTGACCGGGGGTGGGGGGTACATTTGTACTCGTGTGCAAAGAAATGTATATTCTTTTTATGTGTTTTCCCTTAGGACAGTTATTTCTTTTACCTGTATTGTATATATGTGTGTGTGTGTGTGTCTACATGCATATACAATACTACAGGTAAAATAAATTACCGTCTCTAGAACGAATGGCTCCCTGTCCCAGCCGCGAATAATCGAGGTCCGTGAATTGTCAGGGCATGCTGTACACTAAGATAACTCAAACCTTACCTTACATGGTGGAAGTCCAAGTGAGGAATGAGTCAATAGCGTTAAAAATTATTACCTCCTGATTTGCTTCGTTCACTCATTACATTGTTCCTCTTAGGGTACATCCTCACCACAATTCCTTTCCAACCCTTTTTCTTATTCACAAGCTCACAAATCATAAAAACCCTTTTCTCTGTAATTTCTTGTATTTCTTTTTTGCATCCTCATTTCCTAACTGATTTACGCCCGTATTTTTAAACAACATCTTCCCTTGAAGAGGGTTGTCGTGTTTCAACCCGAGTTTTAAACTAAATTAGTCCTGGGGGACACCGCAGTACTGTACTTAACGGGATGGTGTGGCGGTAAAATTTACTAATTCCAATAAAATTTATTTATAATCTTGGAATTGGTTAATTTTACCGCCACACCACCCCGTTAAGCAATGTACTGCGGTGTCCCTCAGGACTCATTTAGTTTAAAACTCGTGTTCAAACACGACGACCTTCTTCAAGGGAAGATTTTGTTTAATAATACAGGCATTAGTATCTGACTCTACTAAAATTAAGTAATTGCTTCACATTTCTTACATTTCATAAATGATTATGTACTGTATGTGGGTCTGACAAATATGTTAGTGAATGAGTTACCATTATTTATGCCTGTACCTTCATAAATTTAAATACTGTACTACAAATGAATTAACAAAATGTTTTGCATTCATAATAAGCAGAACAACCTATCTTATTTTGCCTATAGTATCTGACTTTCTACATTACATTTCCAGGAGGTATGGTTGTGGAGTCTCCACGAGAGTGTTCTGTACTTGTCACTACAAATGTACGGAGAACATTCAAGCTGTTGGCTGTTATTGGCAGAGGTCTACCCATAGTTACTCCTACTTGGATCTCGACTTCAAAACTAGCTGGAAACTTTGTTGGTTAGTAATTATCCCTACTTAGTATTTTAGTAATTAAGATTTGGCATTTTAAAAGCTAAACCGTTCAAGAATGATGAGAATCTACCCCCCTTGATTACTCATCTGATGTCATATCTCTTTGTTTGTACATCAAACATGAAATAAATGAGCTCCTTTAGTGTTTGAGGATATCACTGATTGTTTAAGGAAGCTTACCGTGGGAGTTAGAAAAGAAGAGTAAAATGAAAAATATAAGAATAAAAGATTTTATTGTGATCAGGAGCAAATGAAATTTGACTTTACAGAAGACCAGCGCAAACTTTCAGATAGCTCACTTCACAAGTCATCCACCCAGTACAGTAGTAGATTATCATAAGTGCAAAATGGACAGTTGCCTCAGGGCCTCCAGATGTGAGGGGCCCAAAGGCCCCAAAGATGAATTAATTAAATGTACTGTATATTCCACCGCTTTATGTCCCAGTAAAGAAATGACTTCTTCAGAGCCCTTGTTATCATGTTGACTTGTATGCTGTAATAGAAATATGTTGGACAGTATTTGGCTAATAATTCATTTATTTAAATAATAATTTTTATATTTAACTTTGTGCAGCCAAATAAGAAAAGTATGTTACATTTGGATGTAATATATTGTCTACAAACACCATAGTAACTTTTCAGTGACTTGCAAATTCACAGGTTTGTCATTTTCATGTCAAATTGAGAATATTTAGGTTCTATTATTTAGCATTAAGAATTAGCTTTAGCAAAAAGTCAAAATATAATCAAAGGAAATTTGGCACCCTTTTAGCATACTGTATTTCTGATTCAGGGTATGAAATTGAAGGACTTGAAGGGCAATCATAGACAGAAACATGTCCCATGTTACTATTTGGATCACAACCAAGATTTTTTTAACATTTCAGGCTACTAATCTCCAGAGAATGTAGCTAACTTCACAAGTTCTTACTTAATTAGCTTGCAGTGAACACCTAAAATATCGTCTTCACCAATATGAGTGGTATTCATAGATTGTATATTTTGAGAAAAATAATAATGACAATTAGACTCAACAGTGCATTTGGATTATCATTAATATAATTGTCTATAGGAGAAGTAAGCAGAACCCCACATGAACAGTTTCATGTGTATACGAGTACATACCTCATCACTATTGACAAGCTCTATGGCTCTAAGCAGTCAACTCATTGCTTATATTGAAGTGACAGACAGATATGGTTTCTTGTCAAGACTGAGAACAATAATGGGAAGAAATTGCATGTGCTGCTCAAAATCTGTAGGACTGTGTCAGTTTTCAGCTCTTTTGACCACAGATTTACCAAAGGATCGGGTGAGAGATTAGGGATTTGAAATGCAAATATATGCAGCTCGCATCATATAATTATAAGTAAACATTTCAAATTTTTGACAAGTTTACAATGACAGTATGTCTTTGCCTCAAAGTTTCAAACTATTAGAGAATATGCTAACTCTCCTGTCTGTTGATTATGAAATTCTATGAAACATAGACTCTAATTTCATTATCCATGATTTTGGTGCTGAAGTGAAAGTGAGAAGCGAGCTATTACCTTTACCATACTCAGCATTTTCATTTTAGTAATGTGTGTCATGCTCAGCATTTCCAACTTAATTTGTGTGTAACTTTTAACTGGTGCAAAGAATTTTATTCAATTGTTCTAGATGTTGATTTTGTTTAGTTATCTGAAATTGCATTTGAAAACACAGTAATGACAAATTTTATGCTTTGCATTGAAGCAATTTTTTTAGCATGCTGAGCTGTTTTAGTTCTGTAATTTGTGTGCATAGCTATCCTATTGGTAAGAATAAAACTGTAATAACTATATAACAATTTTTAATTGTGGTGTGTAATTAAACATTAATAATGTCATTTAATATATTGGAGGGGACCTCTTGTTACTAAAAAGCCCCAGGAACCCACCTGTTCTTAATCTGCCCCATCATCCACCACAGATCCTTGGAAATATTTGGTGAAAGACACAGAATCTGAGAACAAATTTGGATTTCAATTGAGCCAATCCCTAAAATCTGCAAAAACAGTTTTGCTCTTTGAGGGATTGTCAATTCATGCAACTGACTCAGTCAAACCAGCTCCAGACCAGATGAAAGGTAAGATGATTAAAGTATTACTGTATATTGTATTTTATTTATTTATTTATATATTTCTGCATGCTTTTTTCAGGTTGTCCATTTATATGTTACTTTTTTTTTGCAAAATTGATTATTTTTCAAAATCCCCGGCATGCATATTGGTAATTTTGCAAAATAACTTACAAACAGGTTAATGAAAGTTTTTAAAAAAAAAAAAAGTTCCACTTAACTGTATCAATCTACATGAGCCATCCTAACCTAACCTAACTATAAGGCGAGATTAGTTTGGATTGTCTGTTTGTAAGTTAATTCTCAAAATTACCAATATGAATGCCGGGAATTTTGTAAAATAACCGATTTTGCAAAAAAAACGTAACATATATACAGGCTGTACTGTAAATTTTATTTTACTGTATAAATATGCCGCATATTACAGTAAACCCTTCCAATGCCGGGCTATTTCATGTAAGCCTTGTCCAGTATTGAAAGGTTTCCTTTTCTCCACATTGCGACCATCAAAATGTGACATCTTTTATGGAAATTAATATTGTATAATTGTATAGTACTGTACAGTACAGTATACAGTATAGAAATTTAAAGTACCTTTATTGTATAACCTAAACACATTTTATGAAGAAAATTATTGAATGTATTTTAAATTACTACAGTATTTTCAATCGTGACATTTCAAATTAACACCATTTTGAAACATTCTAAATTTGTACACTGCTATAAACACTTTCAATAGCCTTTATAAACTGTATCCTATACCATATCAGGTAAGTTTTATGTTCTGTTCTTTTAGCACAAATCATATTTGCATGCATAAATAAGGCTTTGTTGAACTTGCTTTGTTATTTAATAAGAAAAGTGAAATACATTGCAGTAAACCCTTCCCGTTCGTGGGTTTACGGTTCGCGGTAAGTAGCTGGTGGCTCAGGTGGTTAGCATGCGAGCCTTCTCCCTCAAAGCAACGAGTCACCCCACATGCCCACAACGTCTCATCTCTCTCTGTTTGCCCTCGCCCAGTACCCATGACAAAGCATCTCGTGTCATACTCTCACATCTTTCGTGTTTCTTTGCGAAAATGGCCCTGAAAAGACTGCCTAGTGTCAGGCTAGTGGAGTGAAACATAAAAGGCAAAAGTCAGTGATGACTCTGGCAAAGAAAGTTGAATTATTAGACAGTTAAAGGAGGGGATGAGTGCTACCGTGGTTGGTCGGTTGTTTGGTGTGAACGAATCCACAGTGCGGTACAAAGAAAGAATGAATAAGCAATTCGTGATTCTGTTCAAGCGAGTGCTCCTGCAAGTGCTAAAGTGGCGCAGGTTGTTCGTGACGAGAACATAGTGAAAACAGAGAAAGCTTCAGACTTCCACATACTTAAGGTATTATATATGTGGCTGTTAGAGGTTTTGTCAATTCACCCCACTTCTTGAAATCTATCCCTCTTGAATGGCAAGGGTTTACTGTATATCCTCATTAATTCAACAAAAGAAGGGGGCTCTGGGTCACTCGCATTATTGAAAATCCAGATTAACCGAGTTTGGAATATTTTAGCATTCAACAATTTCCATTTTTTTTTTATTATTATTATTAATTATTCGTTCGTTTTCTGTTTGATTTTAGCACCTTATTCGGATTGTTCCAAAGATTGTTTTTAATTTTTCAAATCAACAAACATACCAGTACAGTACTCGGTTACCATGTCTTGGCTCCCACATAAAATATTTTATTTGTAATTACTGTGCAAACAAATATTTTTTTTTAATGTACAGTCTCACCCAAAAGTGCAGCAATAGCTGGCTGGGAGAGTTAACGAACTTATGGGTGAGACTGTACAAACAGTATTAAAGTAAATAATACAATAATGAATAATTGTAATGCTTACTGTACATTACAAGGTGAGCTGATATTCCGAAAGTGTAATGGTCAGACTGGCAAATGAAGTAAAAATTCACATTGGAAAAATAAGACAAAATCTTGAAACTGGTATACTGTACTAGGACCCTCTTCAACCAACTAACAGAACAAAGCAAGGGAGAAATACTTAGAACAAAGGAATCACGTCGCATTACCTGTCTCCTGAGTTGAAGTTGGATGGGGATTAGGGATAATCTTGATGACAGTAATTCAGGGTAATATTTAAAAAAAAATAAATTAAAAAAAATCTTATGAAAAGAACAACACTTTCTCACCAAATACTGTAAAATAGTCTAATCAGATTTGCTGTAGACCTAACAAGAGCTACTAAAGACAAAAGCTAAGATATTGCATATATAAACAGGCTGGGGGTTGCAGAGGGGGATGATCGGGCAGTGCTGCATTTGCCAGGTTTATTTATTAATTCAGTTTTATATTACTGTATGATCAGCCTCTTATGGTGTGTGATTAATGATGGTAAATATAACATCTTCACTAATAGGAAAAGAATAAAATATACTGTAGTATACATAATGCAATTTGACTTGAAAATAAAAGGATAAGTTGTATCAGAAGTTATTCACTCAGCTTGCAACTATAACATTTTGTATAGTATTTTATATGCATATACCTTCCTAACAACATTATTTATTACCTTTGAGTGATACATGACTACTTGTACAGTACGCTATATATATAAGCTTTGGGTAGAGTTCCATTAACTTGGCTTATATATAAATAAGTTGAGGGGTTAAGTTACAAACCCAAAATGGTCTTTTGCCCATGTATTTGTAAAACTATATTGGTAACGGTCTATCAGTAGATGCACCGTAATTAACACTATAAGCTGTGAGTATTATTTAAGGATGGGGGCTCAGCTTGACTGAGCTAGGTCACCCGTCCCATTCTCGTGAGCTTCAAGTGAGGACTGGTGTCTGTGAGGGGAGCTCTGAAGGAGAGGTTGGGCTAACCCTACATTCTCAGGGTCGGCTTACTGATAGAGGAATTTTCCCTCACGTGAACAGCACATTTCATCTCACAGCTTATGGAAAATTACAGTGGGGTGAATGGATTATACAAACTAAATGTATTAACCCAAATTTATATACAGTAATTGTTATTGCCATGAGACAGGGGCTAATACATGTACAAGCAGATTTTAATGAGGAAATTTTCTTCAACAGAAATTGTTGAATGCTCTGGTGGGGAGTACCTGGATATGCCCCCAAAGAAATATGCACCACAACTGAGAATAGTTTCCTGTCTGGAGGATAAACACCAATGGACTTCTTTCAAGAAAATGGGAATTCCTATTCTAGGGACAGAGTTCATCCTCACAGGTTTATTGCGTCATGAGCTGCTTCTGGATGACTTTTATTTGGAATAGAAAGACAAATTTCACCATTATATTACATAATGGCACTGTATTAGGCAACAAATCTCTTGCAATGTACATTTTTATTTTTACATTATATATGTGTACTGTATTGGAAAACAATGTTTTTTGAAGAAATATTGTTATCTACTTGTAGTATGCCTCAAAAGAACTGTACCTGTTTACCTCTTGTGTTTTAACCTTATAAATTATGTAATTCAATGCTAAATCAATCATTTTATTTTTGAAGCTTACTTTAAAACTTTTTGTTTTAATGTAAGTTTAGCTGGAGTCTTTACAGTAATCTTTTTGCCATGATGACATACTCAGTTCATCCTAGGAGGCCGAGAGTGGCCAAAATTAACTCGGGATGTAATGGGAGAAAGGCCAGGTTTGTCTATATCTGCCTCGATGCTTCCACAAAGTCTCATATATGCTGCTATGAACAATATTAGACATCCACCCACTATAGACCCAAACAGTGATGTCTTGACCTCCTGTGGGTTCCACAGGAGGCCATGTCCTCAGAAGTGGAAGGGTGTTTTGTGTGATGTCACAATATTGTAGTAAATATGGCAGAGTCATGGGATATTATTGAGATTCAAGAGGTTAAGAATATATTCCCAAATTAGAGCAGTGTGAAGCTGGAGCACATCATGAGAAACCCTCAGGTGATGGTGTTTCCCAGACAACGAGCGAAAATTAAACATTTTCAGTTACAATAAATATATACTGTACAATCACATATTTACTGTATACATGTAATAATAATAAACGGTTTATTAATAAAGTTGCAGTCGGTGGCTGAAAATATACACTTACATTTGATTTAGACATACTGATAAAATATGCATTGAATACATTTATAGGGCTGTACAGTACATAAATCAGTTGTTGTTTACTATTTTAACAATAGATGGGATGGTGCTGTTCTTATGTATGTATGTAATATAAAATGTTGAAGAGGAGAGGTCACCTCCCAGAGATGCAAAGAATATAAAATGAATGAAAAAAATTTATAGCTACAAGTTGCTGGGATTTCTTAATGACAAAGGAATGACAATGGTCAGGTATTCTTCCCGTGCATGAAAGGAATAAACTTGCTTAGTAGTACACACACAGTTTATTAAGGAAAGATCAGTTTAGGTTCATAAAAAGATGGTGAGTGGAAAAAATATTTTCATTAGCTCTTTACCAAGGATGGTGGTATGAATGTGGTATGGCTGCAGGGCCTATGGTACAGTTGCAGAAATGTGTTCCTACACCCTCCAAATGGCCAATCTATGTGACCTATAGCAAACCTATCCACCAATCACAGCCATCGTTACACAACCAATACCCATTCATTCATAAATAGTGATACTACTACTGCGACGGTGCTGTTTGGAGGCACAGGTTACCACAGGGGGCATAGAAACACATTTCTGCAACTGTACATCCCTTTAAAATTTATGTCTCCCAGCCAGCTGAAGTTTTGTTTCAGATGCCAACCCTCACCTGGACAGAGTGATCCAAGAAATAGCTTTGAGATTTCAACAGCTTCATGAACTTGCTGAGAAATATGCCTTCCTTACCCCATTGAATCTTTTGGATGATAAATATGAGTGTCAAATAGATCACGATCACGACGACATTGATAAAGAGGAGTTCCTCGTTGAGAGAAAAATACTTCAGCATTTTGTTGCTGTTATAACTATTAAAGACAGAATACAGACGTGGAAAGAAGGCCCCCTTGAACTTTTGCAGTTTATTCAAAAGTATAACCTTGGGAACTCGGTTCCAAATATAGTAATAATGCTGAGGATTTTCCTCACAATTGCTGTTAGAGTTGCTACCTGTGAGAGGAGTTTTTCGAAACTAAAACTGATCAAGAATTACTTAAGATCTACTATGAGCACCTTGCGGTTGAGAAATCTTGCCATACTGTCTATAGAGCGACAATTGACAGATGAAATAGTTTTTGACAATGTCATTGAAGAATTTGCCAACAAAAAAACAAGAAAAGTTACTTAGTAGAAAGTTGTAGTTTTCATTTCAGAAATAAAGATGTTCCTAATTTTTTACACTTACTTTTTTCCCTATCCTATATGTCGTTGTTGCTTTTTGTTTAACTGTTACTTATAAAGTTTAAGTATGTTTGGGGTGTATTTAAAGCATACTATATTTGAGTATGTGAAAGTACAGTAATATTATAATGGTACACAAACTATTTAATATATATATATATATATATATATATATATATATATATATATATATATATATATATATATATATATATATATATATATATATATATATATATATATGAGTCACTGTGCAATATGTATTTTTTGTGGGGGCACGGGGCGGCACACACTCTAGCTACGCCACTGCTCTGAGCACCCTCACCAACCAGCTCTCTCTACATCACGCTTGTAACCATGCTGCCTTCCCAGCACCAAGCTGCATTGTACATCCAATACAACATGTATACAGAGAGCACATTGTGAGTTTCCTTTCTCCACCCCATCCTGAGTGTGAACCAAACATAGCGTACCCCACAATATTACCAATTTCAATATTAATAATTGGTCTTTTTCCTGTGAACAGTTTTGTGTAGACTTAGTAATTTTTAAGGGAGACTGCAGTTCACAAGTGTGTTTCTGTAACCCGGTGGTAATCTGCCTGCCTTTTGCTTTGTTGACTGATTCCGATTGTCGGCAAATTACCGGAGACTGGCGGGACAGCTGATGGTAATTCGACGACACTTGCGATATATCTACTGCTTCTTTATGTACGACCTGGCCGTTGGTAACCAGTGGTGGAAGCTGGTTAGCTGCGAAAGAGGCTTGAAACAATAAATTGAACCACAAATAAATGGAGAAATGAAAAAATCAAGAATGAGAAACGATATATATCTTGTGTTGTCAAAAGAGGCCGTGCAATTGTGTGTAAATGAGGAAGAAAGTCAGATGAGCAACTTGTGATGCCATATGATATTGTGGGGTACGCTATGTTTGGTTCACACTCAGGATGGGGTGGAGAAAGGAAACTCACAATGTGCTCTCTGTATACATGTTGTATTGGATGTACAATGCAGCTTGGTGCTGGGAAGGCAGCATGGTTACAAGCGTGATGTAGAGAGCTGGTTGGTGAGGACGCTCAGAGGAGGACCAGCTGGTGGGTCGCCATGCTCGCCGGCGGGAGCGAGGGCCGCCAGGCAGGCGGAGGAGGAGGTGGTGTTGCTGGCTGGTTGGTGTGGGTAGAAAAGAGGCAGGTCACCACGAGGTCAGGTCTTAAATAGCGGGGGTAGGCGTGGCTTAGTAGTTGACCCCCGCTCCGTGATGTATGGCGGCGCTGGTTGACCTAGACCACTAGGCATACACTGGGGAATTGGTGGGGTCAGCTACACAGCGACAAACAGCGTTTGTAGGGGAGAAATCCACTACAATAACAGGTCGTCCACTATACAACACTATGCTTCCAATATCTTCCCAGGCGGTAATACCTCCCTGCGTGACTAAAAATAATATCATTTTAAAAACTGTCATTTCCTAGAATAAAATTGACCAAAACTGCATAAAAACTGCATAAAAACTGCATGTTTAGTTATCAAAGTTTTATAAGATGACGTTCAAACGATGTGTATATAAATATATTAAGAGATGCGAGCCCAAAGTCTTTATCTGATTGGTACATTTATGAAGAAAAACCTTTTAGGTATTAATAATATTAAATATATAAATATGCATATACTATATTTATTATTTAAATTAATATTATACCGATATTAGCATTGAATTATTAGGGATAATCAACATGTTATAGGCCACCAAACGCTGATGTTTTCCCGCCGTTAAGCTTGTTGATGTTTGGTGCAGCGGGAGGAGGGCCGAGGCAGTGGAGGAGTTTGAAAATAATGGATGTTTGTTGATGAACTTTTGAATTTAGCGAGATCAGAATGAGTGTTGAATACAAGTCTGATGTTCTTAGACAGTTAAAGGATTTACCTTTAATTAGTAATTCCACAAACACCGTGAAAACGAAAGGAATCAAACACAGTAGTAAAGCTTATCAAACAAAGTTGGTAAGTATTACAAATTGTATTTGGCTAATGAATGTTTACAAGGTAACTTAAGAAACTAGTGAGATGGAGCGTGAAGTTCTTTGTTACGGATATAATTGTTGAGGTAAGGGGCGTCAACCTATCAGTTTAACACTTCTTTGGTGATGAAATCAAAACATTGCATTTGAAGGTTTTGCCCTCTGGAAATGTGGCCACTCCAAGCCCCATCTCGAAAAAATTTGGTTCAGGTATATTTTAGTTTTGCACTCAATATATCATTTATGTCTGTTACAGTCCAACTTGGACCATCACATGCCAACCCGGCCCATCTCAGATAACCATCTCGGACCACTTAGGTTAACGAACTTGGAATGAAAAGTAAAAGTTTCCACTTTTTAGCACTGATCGGCTCGTTAGCCGCCTGGGCGATCGGTCACGTCTCTGTCACGCACTGTTGGCAAATATTGGGCATGCACCGGCTCCTGAATGTACCTGAGCCTGCTCCAGTGTTGGTCAAGTCTGGTCTTGAAAGAGTTCACACTCGGTGCCGTCTCAACACTTTCTGGTAGATTGTTCCAAGAGTTCACAACCCTCACTACGAAAAAGTTTGCCCTCACAGTTTTCTGGACTTGCGGCTTCTTCAATCTTGAGCTGTGACCCCTTGAGGGGCGAGCGTCCGCCAGCTCCAAGTAAGGACACTCGACTGAGTAGTGCCCCTTGAGGTGCTTATACACCTCAATTAGGTCACCTCTTACCCGTCTGTAGCATAAGCTAGGCAAGTTCAGGCGCTCCAATCTCTCAGGGTAGCTGAGGTGCCGAAGTGCAGGCACCAGTCTGGTGGCCCTCCTTTGAACATTTTCAACCAACTGACAGTCCCTAGCATATCTCGGGGACCAGACGGGGTGACAGTACTCCAGATCGGGAAGCACTTCACTCTTGAAGATCGTTACGAGGGACGGACCATCTAGATATCTGAACGACCTTCTCATAAGACCCAATAATTTATTTGCCTGATTTACCTTTCTTCTTGCAATGGCCTGAGAACTTCAGCTCATTGTCAAAATACACACCTAGGTCCTTCTCACATTCAGTCTCAAATAGTGCACTTTCTTTATCTCGTTGGGACATATGATACACCTCCTTACCGTTGGTACGCCCTAGGTGCATCCTCTTACACTTCGTGACATTGAATCTCAGCAGCCATTTCTTCGACCATTCTTGGCGCTCACAGAGATCCTTCTGCAGCTCTTCACAGTCCACATGGTTCCTGATTTCCCCAAATAACTTTGCGTCATCTGTAAACATAATTGTGAACTAAAGTATTTCGAGTTGGTATTTGTTGGGCCGAGTTGGAGGTGCACCATTTATGTCAACCCCTAGGGTATCATGTCCTAAATTAAAAATTTATCATTATTTAGGGGGCTTTTCACTGTAATGTTTATTTAGTGCATCTAAGAATCTGATGAAGCCAGAAACAAGTTTAATTACATAATTACATAGGAAGCGACCAGTGGGCCGTGTTGCTGTGAGATTGAGATGTTTATATTCAGGACATTTTGGGGTAAATATTCGTCCATTGGCTGTCCTGAGGTTTTGATACAAAAATATTTTTTGTGTGTATTATGGTGTGTTTTAGTCAAATCTGACCTTCATTTTGGTAAAGTTTGGGGGATTTGTAATGTGTAATTATTAGTTTTATTGTTTTTAGCTTATTAGGTTACTTAGGATTGCCAGGTGCCCTGCATATGCACCTCAGAGGACATTACTCTGTCGAATGTCCATACTTGGAGCTCATGGATGTCTACCTCACTAGAGGCCACAATTTAAGTTTGAAGAAGCCACAAGTTGAAAAGATTATCAGGATAAACTTTTTCAGAGTATACTAAACATCAATAACAAACACTGAGTTTATTAAGCGTATATGTTTACAAGTACAGTATACAGGGGTACTTTACATGTTTGAGTGCTTGATTATTTATGTGCGTAGGTGTGTGAGGTAAGTCTTAATTGTAGACATCACAGAACCTCATCACCTTTGTAGCCGTCAGTGGTGTTGCAGACACGGCCATCTCCTTGATCTTGTCGGCGCTTTTAACTATATAATGCACCGTAGAGGGAGCCAAGCCGTGCACGATCCCAATCACCGAAGTTCCTTCTCCATGTTTATGTCTTTTTACGATATCCAATTTCACATCCAACGTAACTGCCACACGTGATCTCTTAGCAATTTTGCTGGGAGTTTTAGTAGCTGGTCTCTTAGGCATTGCGAGATCACACAAAACACACGCCAGCACGTGTGAGACTGAGGCGAGCGGGAGCGTATGGCGGAGGAATACATACACACACACTGTCCTACGCTACGGTTGAGGCACGCGGTTCAAAATTTTTGCTCGTAAGAATTTGCGAATAAATGGGGCAACCATTGCCAATAGTGGAAATGGGTAACAATAAATTGATTGCGGATAAACGGGGTTACGAATACCGAGGCTATGAATAACGGGGTTTGCCTGTACAGGGTATTACCATTTAGCTATAAGGCTAAGAAATGGTTTGGGAATTTGTGAAAAACTGAACATATGGTATTTTGGACACAAACTTGATAAGATTAAAGACGTTTCTTTGCCACAAAGAAATAATAATAAAGCAGTTTATGCTAGAGTTACCAATTTAAAGTTATTCACATTGAGAAATTGAATTTACCCAGGTTTATGATTTTCATTTAAAGTAGTGAGATCAGTTGTGCTTAAAAGCATGAAAAAGAAAGTTGAATAATGGAAATGTAAGTTGGATGGGTAAATGGTGATGAAAGTTAAAGAAGATTGTAAGCAAAAGATAACTACTGTATTCTACTGGTGGTATTGAAGACCTGAATCATTTGAGAAATAGAAGTAAAAGGTTAATGAAGAGTTGCCATCCAGTAGAACTTTGGTACATTTATTGAAGGTACAATATAAACATTGGGAGATGATTATGCAGTTAATAATTTTTTGTTCCAGGAAGCCCAAGATAAACTAAATGTTTGCTTCAACGAGTTCCACGAAGCACTCAACAAGACTAAACAAGCCTTCCTGGTGTATAAAACAAAAAGTTTCTTCTTCTCCGATGCAGAGTTTACCAAATCATTTGCAGAGTCCTTGAAACGGGTAAGAGTAATAGCATGTCAATCCTCTGCAATAAATATTTTGTATTTATTCTTAGTACTGTACAGTGTAATTGGGTTTGTTGTATTGTACTGTACTGCTCACTGGGGAAAATATATGGAAAGGTGTGTGTTTGCTATATCCTGATGCCAGTTGAAAAGGACCCATGTATAATGCACTGCCCAAGCTTCCAACTTTGGGCAAATGAAACCCTAAACTAAGGCAGCCAAGGTTTAAGCCAAAGCTCAGCCTCCTGCCCCATGGCTACCATAGCCAAAAAAAGGGTATTTGAAGCTTTGGCTGCTTAATTAATTTCAATATGTATTTCCAAGGGGAGTCAGTTTGCCAGTGAAATATGAAAAAGGTAACTATTTTATCAAGGAAAACCATTAGGTTTCCACATCTGGGAAAAAAGTATTTATGGATTCCTCATTTTATACAATAAAAATAGTCTTCATAACTGTACAGTACATTAAATGCTGTCAAAAGGTCTTGAAAAACATTATTCTGACATCAGAAGCAAAATATTTCATATTATTACTCCAAATTATGATAATTTTTTACATTAAATGCTTTGTCAAATGTAATTAAATATATTTTACCATGAACTTTGATTTCAGGTAAAGCAAAGTAAATATTACAATGCCGTTTTTCAGTTTTTAGTTACTCCCTATACTGTACTATGATGTAAGAATAATATTGGGAGAAATTGTGTAATGGGGTTTAGATGGATGTATGCTGTCAACTCATAAACATTCATCTTCATATATGCATTATTATATGTAACATACATTTCTACAGTATACTGTCCCGACGTTATAACATATATACCTTACCTAATAATGGTGAAAACAAAGAGAAAAATAGGATACAAAGTTAAATGAGTTGACATGGATATTGCAATCAGCTGAGTGAGTACTTTAATTTTTTATGAATGAGGTTTGTCTGCCACTGTGTAAATGCAGCACGTTCTGTGATTCTGGCTCCATATTATGGTTGAGAAGGGTCGGCAAACCGTGTGTAAAATTCAAACTTTTTTACAGCTGTCAACTGCGGGTGTATTTTACAGCGAGAAGGAAAATTGTTCAATACAACTTTAGTTGTAATTCAGAGCCAAAGGATTACCGGCTGGGAACCTGATGACTTGTGAAACCATGCAGCATTTTGTTCAATCCATTCCTCATTTCATAGACCCAGTTCCAATATAATGCAGGCTTGCCGTACCAGCCGTGAGAAGGCATGATTTACGAATTTATGCAGTAATATTATTTTGATAAGGAGCTAAGTGCCTGGTTTCATATACTGTATTGTGCATTGGGTCATTTGGGATGGTGTAGGCAGGTCTCAGTGTTGTATAAAGGGTAAGAGTTTTTTTAATTATTTTTATTAATTTTGGAAATATTTGTGTTTGGTAAACAACCTAACTTGGGTGTTGATGAGTAAAGGGTGTCCAAGAGACAGTAACCACTTTTTTCTTTCATCTGACCTGACCATATTTTACCTGTGTGTATGTGTGAGTGTGTCCACAAGAATTTCCATGTCTTGCATGAAGTTATTTTGTGAAGTACAGTACCTTGTACATGGCACAAATTGCATGAGATATTCAATGGTGGTGGAAATGTGTTTTAGTGAGATGGCCCTAACATATTTAGCTAGTGGTAAGTTGTTCAGTATTCTGCAAAACTAGAAATTTTTTGGAGAAAAATGTGAATTTGTTCGTGCCTTTTAAACTTTTCATACTAAAACCCTTCATGTCCAGCTTAATACACCAGGAGAAAGATATTTTTTTGAGATGAGTTGTGAAATATCTTTGTCCCCCTATCTTACAAAACCAGTCACTCAATAATGTGAGATTTGCTAAAACATTCCGTAATCCCCAAACAAAATATTTTTATTATTAAGTTAGAGGCCTAAAGATATAATTTATGAAAGATTTCAGTTGAAATTAAATACTTAATGAAATGAGACTTAACACAGGTAGAAAAAACATGATGGTAATTCACCCTGGAACTGCTCTGTACATCAATCTAATTGCAGGTTGAGGGTGAATTAGAGGCAATGGGAAGCAGCCTCAGGAAGTTGATTGGTAATCAAGTCGGAGCTACTAATGCACAAGGGAAAGTCTCAGCACCAGTGGTAATATCTAAGACAGAGACTCACATGCTTCATAATGCCTCAACTGATCACACACCAGAGCACTCAGGTAAGTTATTATTTTGTGATTTACTCTTTTTGCAGGTTATCCTTTAGGCTTTATTTACTGAACTGTATGTCTATAGTGTTGGAAGAAAAGAAGGAGGAAATGGGAATACTGTATTGGTAATTTTGAAAAATTGAATATAACTATGAGAAAGGCAAAGTTTTCATGTTTAGAATGTAGAGGTATTGTGTCGGAAAAAGTTGAGTTTGGGGGTCGGGCCAGTCTCTATTGGAATTAATCCCATATGTTCTGTTGTTCACTTTACGCGGTACCCTGTGGGTTCAATTGACTGCGTAAATCGGGGTACTACTGTATATATACTGTGTGTGTGTGTATATATATATATATATATATATATATATATATATAATATATATATATATAAGATAAATCTTGATAAATAGGAAAATGGATAATTTTAGCTAGTCTTTTTCAAGACATCTTCATATATATATATATATATATGTATATATATATATATATATATATATATATATATATATATATATATATATATATATATATATATATATATATATATATATATATATATATATATATATATATATATATATATATATATATATATATATATATATATACAGTATATTGTTTTGAAATAAATATTCCGACATTTGTGATTTTCCCAGATACGCTGGTGAAGACCAATGGAACTGCAAGTATTACTCCACCGGTGTCTGAGGCAGACAATGATGATGAAACTTTGGCATGTGTGCTTGACCAAGGAGACCATTTACAAGATGTATCTGGAAAAATTAGATTGAGTTTAGACAAAAAAAGAACGCATAAAAAGCTATCAGTTAGTTCCTCCTCTTTTATGGCAAAGAGACCCAGGAGGAGTTTGTTTCAACCCTACAAGGAGCAGGAAGAGGACTTGGAGAACTCTGACATAAAAGAAGATGTAGAATATGAAGTAGAAACCATCATAGATTTTAAAAAAAGTCAGGTATGTGTAGAGTATACAGTAATACTGTCCTTCCCTTTGCATTAAATATGAAATAATTTACGAGATACTACAATGATGACCATCCTGCTGTGATAAGATACAGTTGACTAGAGTTCCTTGCTGCTCACTCAATTTCATGAAAGATTCTTTGATATGTTGCATTTTCTTGAAATGTGCTTCATAAGTCATATCTATTAGATGTCCTGTGTCTTGCTCAATGTAGCATAACCTATTCAAATTAGACTTACACTGTGGACATATATAAAAGATAATAGGTTAAATGTTCTCTCCAGTTTACTTTTGAATAATTTTTTTTTTCCATTCGAACATATAATTTGAACAGACATAAGAGCTGCAACATACGTATTCTGGAATTATATTTGGTCATTGTTTATTGTTTTATTTTATTTTATTTTATTTTATTTATTTTATTTATATACTGTGAATTCTCTATTTAATTGACACTATGGAGAGGGGTGTTTGTTATAATGAGCGTCCCTTAGATGTGAAAACGGACTATTATACTGTACAGTATATGGGGAGTGAAATCCATTAGAGTGAGAAACGAGATCTTATGAAGTGAATTTAAATGGAAAATAAAACAGTGGAACCTCCATGTAACGGTTATGTCCATTAGATGGAGGTTCCACTGTGTTTTATTTTAAATTTATTTTATTTTTATTGTTTTCATTTGAATTCATTTCATAAGATCTCTTGTTTCCCATTCAATGTCACATACTGGTTTGTGTGTGTGTGTGGGCAAACATTAAAGGTTAAAAGCTAAAACAGTTTCCTGACAATATACTTCACCTTAAAGCCAAAATAATGACTGATATCTTTAGTGTTTGGTAATGTATTAAAGGAACTGGTTTATTATGATATCTATACAAAAACATGCCAATCTAAAATAGTCCCATTGAAGAATATTAACCTCCCACAAAAAATCAGATTTTTATAATAACTGCTTTGACTCATTACTGCAGTAAAATCAAAACATATACTGTACATACTGAAATCTTTATTAATTTAAAATGCTTCTGTGAAATTTGCTCTGTATTACCTTTTATAATTTGATACTGTATATTACTATGTTAATTTTGTGGGATGATGATCAGGCTAATCGCGGTGGGAACTTGACTCTGTTGTTAGACTTCTTGTGGACCTCTTAACAGTAGTGGGAGGCCAGCAATGGGTGAAGGTGTCATAACACTTCATGTTTGATACTACAGTATTTGTTTATGTTTAATATCTGTAATGCTCATTCTATAATTCTACTATACAGTAACCCCTTAGGTAAGAGGGATCTCTCTCTGTGCTAAATAAAATCGTCTGGAGTTTGCCAAAAAAAGTAGTAAATCGATGATTTGGCCAGCAGAGTATTTCCTGAGCCGGTTCAGATTGTACTGTAGGTTAGAAAATTAAGTAAACAGGTGCACTTGATCCCCTCAGACCTGTACCAGGGAAGCATAATAACCTCACATTATCCCTGTTGATAAGGAAGCCACAGAATTCTTACTTTAGGTCTACAGATCATTATCAAGTAACTTGCAAGATTCCATATCAGATAGGAAAGGGATGGAGGTCATAGTATCAGCTGTACCCACAGCAAGAAAAGTATCTTTGCAGCTGGGTATGATGAATATCAGAATGGGCATTATGGCTGTTTTCTTATTGGAATCTTTGGTATGCCTGATTGCAAAGTGGATTTCTTAATACTGTAATGTTTTAAATATGTTTGTAGCTTCTGTTTGTTTCTGTTGGAATTAAATAAATAGGTTGCAATATAACCCCTTGAAACCAAGATAACGCAGTTTGCTTTGTTTTATGCACATTTATACACAATTAATTCAGGAGAAACATTGTCATATAGGAATATAGCATATGGAAGGAGGCAAGTTGCCACATAGGAATATAGCCTATGAAAAGAAGTGCAACTGCAACAAAATGGTTGACATATGTTAGAATTGTATTTGTCAAACTACCATTATAATGCAGACTGGCAGACTTTTGTTCTATTGCTTACAGTATAATGCTAATGCGATCCTAAACTAAACACACCTGTTATTTGTCCTTATACTTGCTGTTACAAACATACAAATCATGTTTTGAAGCATATGATGAACTCGACTGCAAAAAGTGCCAACTCCACTTTAATAATTGGCAAACCTCAGCCATGTTCTTCTTGAAAGGTTGACTATTGCTTGTTACTAAGAGTGGTGTTTTTGTTTCAAAACAATTTGCCACCTATAGAACACCATCTAAGTCAATTCCAAAACATTGCGTACAACCATTATCACTATTCTCGGCAAGGGCCTATGCGTATTTTAGTTAGGATATGATATACATTCAGTGCATGTAATGTAAATCTTAAATGCACTGCCTGGCAACTTTATATGTACAACATTTTTGTTTACTCTGTGAATTGTTCAACTTGTTTATTAACATGTCCTGTTATGCAACTCTAACCACCACAAAACGTATTCTACCATTGTTTCATAAATTATTTACATAATATAATAACAATGTTTGTTGTATTATAAAGCAAGTGACAGTCAAAATGAGATTATATTAATTATACAGTGATATCCTCATTAACCGGAATAATTGGTGCAGAGCACTTCTGAGATGCGAGATTTCCGGCTAACGAAACAACTCGCTTAAACCCAGAAAATTTGAAGATCTCAGGAATTTTTCCATTTACTGGGAAATTGTGCAATATTTCATTATTAGAATTTGTTCCCAGACCTGGAACCAAAAATTTGGAGGGAGTTTCTGGAATTTTCCAGAATAGTATATTATTTCATGCTTGGAATTTGCTCCCAGACCCGGGGAAAAATTGGAGAGAGTTTCTGGAATTTTCCAGAAAATGTATCTTGAGTTTCAACCTCAGAAACTCATTCACTGACCCAGAATGGAGAGTTTTCCTGGAAAAATTCTGAGTAAATTTCAGTTCTAGGTATTAGAGTTCTGACTAAAGGAGATATTACTGGTGCTTACATACAATATATACAAATACTGGTACAAGTACAAAGAAATGCGAGTCACTGGCATATCCACATTTTCTCATGTACAGTATGGGAAAATGAGGGTTACCAACATGGCTCATGATCAAAGATCTTTGAATACAGGTATTCCCGGAATACAAATGGGTTAGGTTCCCCCAAAAGCGTTCGTTAGGTGAATTTACTTCTTTTTTTTTTTTTCTTCTTTTTTTTTTACGGGAATTAGCCCACCCGGGCACAGGTCAAACGACCCACAACGGAGCCTGGGGGGCGAAAAAAAAGAACGGAAAGAAATTGAAAATATAGAGAAAAAGGTTATACTGTATTAATCTACACCACGAAGATGCCAGAAAACCAGCTTTTTAAAGTGAGACAGATTGTAAGAGCATGGCAACACAGAAGAAGGCAAAGCATTCCACAATTTGGCTGTGTGAGGAAAGAAGGAGGTACTATAACGGGTTATTCTCGTGTGACCAACATCCACAGAGAAACGGTGGGCACCTTGGGCAAGACGTGTGTTACGAACCCACGGCCTTGCCGGCGGTACACAGGATGCCAAATCCCCTGAACATTGCCCGTTAAAGTACCTGTAAAAGAGAGAGAGTGAAGCAACATTGCGGCGAAGAGAAAGGGGAGCGAGATTGTCGACTAAAGGAGGAGAGTTAATAAGACGAAATGCCTTTGATTCCACCCTATCTAATAGTTGGACACAAGAAGAGCCACCCCAGATATGAGAGCAGTACTCCAAGTTAGGACGAATGAATCCCTTATATACTTGGAGCAACTGCTCAGGAGTGAAGTAGCTGCGGCATCTGTACAGCATTCCCAACTTTCGGGAGGCAGCTTTAGTTATACTAAGGATGTGTGATTTCCAGGACATATTGGAGGAAATGGTGAGGCCTAACATATTTATTTCAGAATTTGGGGGGATGATAGCGTCCTGAAATGTAATTGGTGGGAGATCGTCTACTTTACAAAGTGTAATTGGTAAATATTGAGTTTTGTTACTATTGAACTTAACCAAGTTTGTATCTCCCCATTCAGAGATGCTGCACAGATCCGCGTTGATAGAAGTAATGATATCAGTTCTAGAAACAGATCTAGTTTGAGAGTTAGGAGGAAGGGGAAAATGTGAGGAAGAGTGAAGAGTAGAATCATCGGCGTAAGAATGGATAGAATTAGTTGTAGTGTGAAGTAAATCATTGATAAAAAGAAGAAAGAGAGTTGGTGAAAGAACAGAACCCTGTGGGACGCCACTATTGGTAGAGAAAGAGCGAGAAATCGATCCCTCGACAACAACTGCCATGGATCGATTCTCAAGGAAGCTAGAGATGAGAGAACAAAGTGGGGGAGAGAAACCAAAAGAGGGAAGTTTAGATTGCAAAGACTTGTGCCATACCGTGTCAAATGCTTTGGAGATGTCGAGGGCCACGACAAAAGTTTCCCCATAATCCCTAAGAGAGGATGACCAAAGATGGGTGCAATAGGAGAGCAGATCACCAGTAGATCTTGCCTGGCGAAAGCCATACTGGTGATCCGACAAAAGAGAAAGGCGTTCAAGGTGACGGAGAAAATGGGAGTTCAAGATAGTTTCAAAAATCTTAGAGAGGGATGAAGTTAGGGCAATGGGGCGATAGTTAGAGGGATTAGAATGGTCACCCTTCTTCGGGATGGGCTGAACCAAGGCATGCTTCCAAGAAGAAGGAAAAGTTTTGGTTTTGAGGCAAAGGCGAAAGAGGCAAGCAAGCACAGGGGCCAGGGCTTCAGCACACTCCCTCAGAACACGAGGGGGTATTCCGTCCGATCCATGCGCCTTACTCACATCCAACCTGGATAACACACCGGCAACCCTGCGAGTGGAGATTATAGGAAAGTGCATAGGTTCAGTAGGAGGTGCAGGGGTAGGAGGGGTAGAGTGGGAATCGTCTAAGGTGGAATTAAAGGAGAATAAGGTGCCAAAGAGGTTGGCTTTTTCAGGGGGAGAGTTGGCTATAGAGTTATTGGGACGGAAGAGGGGAGGAAAAGAAGGCGTGCAGAAGTTGTTACAGATGTTTTTAGCTAAGGACCAGAAGGATTTACTAGAGGAAGAATTAGTCAGGACAGCAGTCTTTCTTTTAATAAAATTCCGCTTGGCCCTAAGAAGAATAGCCTTACAACGATTCCTAGAAGTAATGAAAGAGGTGTGGGTAATAGGAGAAGGAGATAGTTTCATAGCTCGATATGCCCTATCTCTCACCCTGCAAGCAAGAGAGCAGGAGCGATCAAACCATGATTGTAATGTGAAAGTTTTGGTAGAAGATGGGATAAATGCACTCATACCGCCCTGTATAACCCCAGCAATGCTGTCAGCACATACTGAGGCATCCCGAGTGGAAAAGCAACATTCATCCCAAGGAAAGTCGGTGAAGAATTCTCGCAAGGATTGCCAGCTTGCCCTCCGATAGTGCCATAGTTGACGTTTAGAGGGGGGTGGGGGAGGTGGTCGTGCCCAGTTTGATTTAATAGAAATAAGGTTGTGATCAGAAGACCCTAAGGGGGCAAAAATTGAGTATGAATAGTGTGAGGGGTTAGAGGTAAAACAAAGATCAAGAATGTTAGCAAGTTGATCGTGTCGATCAGGAACGCGTGTAGGGTGTTTGATTATTTGTTCCAAATCATTAAGGAAAAAGAGAGTGCCTCAGCTCCACCTGGGTCATCCCTTGCAGAACCAAGCCACTCTCTGTGATGTACATTGAAATCCCCTAGGTAGATGATCTCGGTGTTGGGGTGTGTGGATAGCAACGACTTAACACGAATAGAGGAACACATGGAAAAAATAGGGTTTGGTTTCCCAATGACAAAAACACCAAGTTGGTACACAAGAACAAAACCTACTTAACAAATGATAAATAGTACACAACTACTGTACTCTAATTTACTACCTAACACATGAAAAAAGGGCTGTTCATCTTTGGTACATTACCTTATGGGAGGGCATAACATGTACGACCCACGCGGGATGTGCGGAAAGTTTGTGTGTGGAAGAACTTATTCTTTTTTCATAAAATAGTATACAGTATACGTACCAGCGAATGTGAGGAATAAATAAAAAAAATAATAATAAATAAGAGAAAAATACTGCGTTGTCATTTGGCAGGAGACAGTGGACCATTAAGTGAGAAGGGTGAGGAAATACCAGGAGGTGAGCAGGAGTAGGCTAAGTAAGGGCCTTACTCAGTGAGATGAGGAGGGTTGTCTATCTCATCGCTATTGTCTGCCAAGGACACCATAGTCCTCATCGTGCTTGTAAATTGTGGCCACAGTAGAAGCAGCCAGACCAAGATCTTCCCCAATTTTGGTAGGGCCATCAGCACATACATGACACTCAATTATTTCCAACGTTGTCTCAAGTGTCAGCCTTTTGCATTCCCTTCAGTGTAGTATGGGTAGCCAAGATTCAGCAGAATGCTTGGATGCCACCATAACGAAAGGATGGCACGAATACACACAGACAAAGAGAGATCACTTCATGCACACTATGAATGGTGGGGAAAGGATGTGCGCTTGTGGGAAATGCAGGAGGGAAGGGGGTATGATAGTAAGCAAGAATAAGTCTCTGCACATCTCTCCTGAAGATGGCTGCGTCAGGTGACTCCTGTGGCGAGTGATTTGAATTTTTGTCCTGGCCCAAATTTGTATAATCGGGGAAAGCTTTGTATCTCAAGAAAGTGGTGTCAATTTATGAAATTCGTTTAAGAGAATTTTCATATTTGCAACGTTCGTACCACAGGGGATACCACTTTTTTGTCTTTTGTGTCATTATATGACACTGTAAGTATAGTTAGTTTTTTTTGCTGTGTGCACATTAAAATGCAAATTAAACTTAAAAATGCTTTACTCGTCAGTTGAATCACTTGTTGTCTCCCTTCATTTGCTTTCATTCATTCTTTTTTAATGCCATGACAGAAAAGTTCTGCAGTGAAGTTCCCATTCCACAACAAGGCTAAAGATGTCCCTCTGATTTATCCATGTCATTTAACATACCTAGCAGGCTGGCACCAACCTGGTTGGTCCAACCATCAGCAGCATTGTACTTGTTGAAGAATCTTGAACATTTTACCATGAAAGAAAGTTTCCCATCTTTGGTATCCTGCAGAAGCGTGTCAATGTTTCATACTCTGGGGAGAGGCTATGGGTTTGTCTCTTGGTCCTTAACTGAAATGGGTTAGAGTTGAGCCTAAAGTTTTATAAAAGAAAAAAAAGAAAGAGACTTCTAGTTTGGGCCTGAGGTATTGGTTCTCGCCCATGGAAACAATATTGGGTGATATCCCGTTTGTCCCGTAAAAACATTTCAGAGTTACTGTCAAGTTACACTCACTTGATAGTATGAGTTGTTAGTGTATCATGGTAAAAGCCATTAAATTTACTCAGTTGGATTGTATCTCCCTTGTGCATGTTCTTAGAATGTTGCATCTTCCTTAGTTTCTCTTTTGGAGGTTCACTTTAGCCCACACTTTGAAAAGGAGAGTGAGTGTCAATGATGGTGCTCATATCTGGATACTTGATGAAATTACTGTGTGATGACTGTACCTAGGAACCAGTAAGGTTAGTTATTTTCTAAACTGGCTAGTGGTTACAGAGGTACAAGGAGCTAATGTGTGGAGTCTTTCGTCACTTTCTTCCCCCTTTGCTAGTAGGCTTGAGTGTACCTGAGTGACCCAATCCACTACATCAGTTATGAATTGGGGATTATTTATGAAATCCCATTTCATAACCAAGCTTGGATCAGGGGACTCAGATCCCACGCACCTCCCAGTGGTGATCTGGAACTGAAGGATAGTAGAGTCTTAACCATTTTCCAACCTGCATGGGTCACAATGCGTGTACAAGTACTCATTAAGCTCATGTGTTATTGCCAAGCATTCTCTTTTTATGGGCTACAGTTAAATAGGGAAAATCATTTTTAGATTTCTTGTTTGTACTGTATTTCTAACGTAATCCCAGTCACACAAGTTAGGGTTTGGAACCATGGCGTGTCAACCAGGATACTTGTTAGTGCCTCACATGAGTTGCATGATCCAAACTTTGCTGTAAAATATTTTTTTGTTCTATTATTTTTTCCTTTGTACATAGGTAGTATTCCTGCTTTTGACCACTTTTTGGTGCTTTCAGGGAACTTATTTTTATAAAGTGTCATGGCGGGGCTATGGTCCTGATGAAACCACCTGGGAACCTTCTTCAAACTTGACAGGATGTGAAGAACTGCTTATAGAATTTTACAAGACAAGATTACGAGAACAAGAGAATACTAAGACTGATGAGTAAGTACAGCAACCAGATTAGGTTAGGTTAGATTCTCCTCAATGAGTGACCTGTGAGATTAATTCCATTAAAATTTCCATAGCAGAGCCTGCCTTTACCCAAAGAGCCTTGACATATTTAAAGACATGTTACATTATCTAGGAGAACAAAGTATTGTACTACAAATAGCTTATTACCCTAATAAACCAAAATACGGGTATCTCCTGATTTATGATGGGGTTATATTCCTGAAAAACCCACTGCAAGTCGAAATATAAATTGGGATCATTATAACATGGGGTTCAATGGAATACGCTCCCAGCCAGTTTGACAACCACATGTATAACCAAAAATAAAAATCCTACAATAATAATATACTTAAAACACAATTAAACAACACTCAACACATCATTAAGAACAACCCTGGTTGTCATCATATGGCCCCTTCAAGGCTAAGGGGACTCTTGAATGTGGGTGGAGACATAACTCTGACTCCCACACAGCTTCACAATGTCAAGCTTCACTGCCACAGACACAGTTTTCCTGGGTGCCTTGGTCTTCCCAGACATTTTCAAAGTTGCAAAAAATGAAAGGGAAGATTTCCAAGCTCAACCTATTAGGATAAAACGTGTAATGGATGAAACTAGGGTTCCTCACATATTGTGTCCAGTTAAAAATCTTCAGGAATGGTTAACCTGATTCACTAATAGAGGCCCTTATGTTTTCTCATCAAGGGATGGTAAGAAATTATCTCCTAGTCAATTGACAAAATCCTTATCTCAATTAGTGAATCAAGCAGACCCTGGCAAGAAATTTTTGGCACATGACACTAGGAAATATGCAGGGTCTGTGGCCTTTCTGTGGCATATGAGTCTCAGTCAGATCAAGGAAATGGGCTTTTGGAGATCTTCAAAAACTTTCAAAGACAGCTATCTTCATTTATCTCTGAGAGATGCTTTAAATGTGGTGGTGCTGGGTTCCCCTCCCCCATCTATTCAATCTCCACTACCAAGACCTTCTTCCTCATTAGAATAAAGTGAGTACCTGTATCCTTTTTGAATAAATTAACATTTTCCCTTCTGGTAAATGTTCCTAATTTTGGAAATGTTTATAATATAATCAGGACCTCAGTCAGCGGAGCCTTGTATGCAAAGTCACCTCCCTCTCTACCTCCTACTCGGGTATTCTTGCTGAGCGTCGCATTCACGAGCTTGAACTAAAAGCCGGTTTTTTCTAAAAACCAGTTTTTGTGATATAGCTCGAATGCAACGTCCATAACCCACCCATCTCCACCCCTCGAGAGTTGACTTTTAATTACTGCTCTCTCTCTGAGGCAAGAGATGAGGTTCGTAGTGCTCATAGTGGCTAGATGAGGGAAGGACTTTGAAAATAGCAATTAAATGCCAGGTAGCGACGTGTCCTCCTAATATTACTTATTAAGTAATTATTAGATGTTTTAATTGCCTGTATGTTGGCCTGGCGAATTGGCTAGGAATTAACATACCTAGGTAGCATTTGCTGAGCGTCGCATTCGAGCTACAGTATATCACAAAAACTGGTTTTTAGAAAAAACTTTTTTTTATGGGGAATAGCCCACTCAGGCACAGGTCATCGACCCACAACAGGTCCTAGGGGGCGAAAAAATAAGGGTAAAAAGAAATTAAAATTGGAAAAGAAAAAGATTATATTAATCTACACTGCGAAGATGCTGGAAAAACAACTTTTTGAAGTGAGACAGATTATATGAGTATGGAAATGCAGAAGGCAGAGCATTCCACAGTTTGGCTGTGTGAGGAAAGAAGGATGTACAATAACGGGTTATTCTAGTGTGACCGACATCCACAGAGAAACAGTGGGCACCGCAGGCAAGACGAGTGTTATGAGCCCACAGCCTTGCTGGCGGTACACAGGATGCCAAATCCACCGAACATTGCCCGTTAAAGTACCTGTAAAAGAGAGAGAGTGAAGCAACATTGCGGTGAAGAGAAAGGGAAGAGAGATTATGGGGACCAGAAACCAGTTATAAAGGAGTATTAATTCCCATAAAAATTAATAGGAATAGGGTCTAATTGGGACGATCACACTGTGACACTCATAAAGCTTAATTTTATATCTTTTAATAGTTATGTACATACCTTAGAAACATTTGTTAAACATTTTATTACACATTATTTTATGAAATTATTCTAGCGGGCTGGGCTGGGGGTTGTGTGGACCTCCTGTACATGTATTATAATTTTTCATGTTTGACTAATGCATCTTATTATTTTCTGTCTCCTATCATAATTCTTGAATCATTGCAGTTTGAATTACCCAGTGATGCCTCATGATCCCAGTTCCCAGAATCTTATTCATCAAGCTTTGTTAGAGCACATTGATCATCCCAGCCAGGAAGACTATGACAATAGTATAGCACTCTTTGTGTCTTTAAAACCTCCTGCCTTGAAAACCCAGAAGGAAATACACGATCTGATTGAGAGAGCTTTGTCAGTGAAGAAGGTGAGGTTTAAAATTAGTTAATTCAATTCAGGTTTATTCTTGTTTTTATTTGTTATTGTTTTTTTATTTAATTTTTATTTTTTATTATTTTTATTAATATTATTATTATTATTATTATTATTATTATTATTATTATTATTATTATTATTATTATTATTATTATTATTATTAATACTATTTTTTTATATTATTATTAATGAGGAATAGCCTACCCGGGCACAGGTCATCGACCCACAAGTGGGACGAAAAAATAAGAATGAAAAAATAAAAATTATGGGAGAAAGGGGTATAGGTAAACCTTGATAAACGATGGGGTTAGGTTCCTAAAAAACTCATTGCTAGGCGAGTTATCGTAAATAAGGAGCATAATAACGTGGGATATGTTCCCAGCCAGTTCCCAAACACACATGTATCACTGACAAAACAATTCCTACTATGTTATTCTCAGCACAAAACAATTAAACAACACTCACCACATCCTGAAGAATAAGCCTGGTCATCATCACATGGGGAGTCTCATGCTGTTTAATAATGTCAAGCTTCACCTCAGAGACACGGTTGTCTTGGATATCTTAGCCTTCCCAGACATTTTCAAAGTTACACTGCTCACCTCACAGCTACAAAAACAGAGCGAATGAAGATAACAAAAACAATGATAGCAGCCGACACTGTTCACATATTCAAAACAAAAGAGTCGGCGCACGTTACAGTCACAGAAACACAGAAAATATCACTTCATAGTCACCATAACACAGTTCAGTGTGAATGATAGTGCTGTCCTCTCACTATAGAACAAAAAAAATGCTGATGAGAAGTACAATGTATAATGCTGGCCAATAATTGTGGAGCCATGTGATGGTGGGTTTATGATTGACAAAGAACCAAATTTGCTGATGACACTAAAATAGGGTGTGTAATAAAATCTGTTGAGGACTCCACAAAACTACAGGAAGAGCTGTAGTACTGTATATCCTTAAAAAAATTTCTTTAGTCAGCAGGAAACAGGTACCCCAGTATATCTTAACTGGGAGATCGAGTTTTGCATAACACTTACACCCTCACAATTATATGTACTCTATATCTATAAATCAGAAACTGGATTAAAACTGATTTCCTGTTTCTTTTACAGAAGAGCCGATTCAATGCAATAGCGAAGTTATTGATTGAAGATAAGATTATGAAGGAATCGGAAGGTAAGCGGAAAAAGCAGCTCGCAGAACTTCGCATGTGGGAACGCAACATAAATTCCATCTGCTCTGACCCTGCAAAACTCTTTGTGGAAAATTTCGTTGACCTAACATTACCACCTATGGACTTCATCTACATTAATGAGTGCAGAGTGAGTTTATATTAAAATAATTTTATGTTGAATTTTATTTTATCTTTTTTTTGGACTTTGTGTAGCATATCTTAGAATAAAACATTTCTCATACCATTGCAAACTGAGACACTATTAATTTTGTGTTTTTGAAGAACACAAAGAGCTGTTGCCTTATTATCATTGTCTGGTTTAAGTTTATGTTTTGATATTGCAGGAAGCTAAAGCAAGATTGACTGAAATTGATGCAGTGTTTGTGGTTATTTTAGTCACTACTGTATTTTATTGAAGGCATTGCTGGTTAATTGAACCTTACTCTTAAGATCCCTCAATAAATCCTACATTGCACAATGCTAAAGGCTGTCCTCACAAATTCGTGTCTCAGGAAAACGGACTTCTTTACCACTTATTCCACTCTATATAAGCGATGTGGCTTAGAAACAAATAAAATGTACTTCCATATAAAATAAGAAGAATTAAGAGCATGGGTGTGTACTGTATGTGTGGGAAGTGGAGGTGGTGGGCTGTAACTACGTTGTTGACTCGCCAGTCCAGCCGCCTTGTATATTGTTACTTGTAATGAAACTAGAAAAGTTGAGGAAAAATCATGACAATACTCTAATGTAGCTTAGAAATAAAGAAATGAAAATATAAAACTATAAAATAAGAAAAATGAAGAGCATGGGTGTATATATGTTAGAAGTGAATGTGTGTGGTGGCAATGGGTTACTGGGCTGTAACTGTGTGGCCGCACTCCCTCCTGATGTGATGTCACGGCATACACACAGCCAGCGCCAGTCACACATCCATAAGTCAGCTGGGTGACTGCCTGAACTGTGTCATGTTACGTATATCTACCCAAAAATACGAGTTGAAAAACCATAACACCTCACAGATTGGCCCAGTAGCCTCGTGGTTACAGTGTTGATCTAACCTAGTAACAATGCCTTGATTAATCACTATCAAACACTATTCTCTCAGTAAACACTAATAATAACAGTAAATCCAATGAATTATGGCAGGGAGTGAGGAGAGTTACAGCTGCAAACAACACCCTAACTAGCAGTCACTCACTCCCCTTTCCCGCTCCCGTTGCCAGGTGTACATATGGGAGAAATGCGTAACCTTCTTTTCTCTCTAAACTTGTTTGGGCACCTTCCTGCTACTGGATGAAGGTGGTTGAGGGCGTTTGGGAACCATCACAAGCACAAGGAGCACAGTTGTTAAGAGAGCAGAATAGCAAACACGCAAAACAAACATGTGATTAACCCTGACTGACACTGAGGCGGAGTGAGCACATATGGCCCAGCATCCTGGGACAAGATAGGCAGCTTGCGGGATGCCATAAAGCTCCCGGGCTTCCCGTCCCGGTCGTGAAAATGCAGCCAACTTTAAAACTACCTGCAGACATTCTTGGGTACATCGGGGTGTCATCCGATAATAATCGAGGGTCATAAATATAAAATCCGTGAATTGTAAGGGTGTGCTGTAACTATTTCATTCCCTCTTCTGTAATAATAATAATAATAATAGCTAGTATTTTGTGTCTCAAAAGTGCCAGTTTTTCTAAAAAATTTGCTAGTGCTCGAAACACTACAGAGTCAAAGACTTCAGAATAAAAAAAAATATTGTATGTACTACAATAAAAGATCAGAAAAAGTTTTAATACTTCTTATACCCTGTAATTCTCCATTGCCGTACTCTCTTTAGGATCAAAATCTTTCAAACGAGAAATGCCTTAAATTTTTTAAAGGCTTCACAGAAGTCAGCTGCTTCATGGATGCAGGCAACCGATTATACAATCTGGGTGCTGCACAGGAAAAGGATCGGGCAGCAAAAGAACATTCCCGTACTGCTCTCGGCTCCTCAAGGCGTGAAGGATCATCACTACGATGCAAAATCATTTCAGAATGTGTAGTTAGAGGAATTAGTAGGTTGGCCAGATACTTAGGCTCACCAAACATTAGTGTCTTTAAAGTCATTAGACAGTTTGAGCTCTATCCTTGCTTTAATTGGAAGTCAATGTAATTCTATCATTAATTGGGTAGTGGGAGTCCTCGGTGGAAGAGCAAAAATAAGCCTCCTGGCAACCCTGTTCAACACTGTTTCAACTTTCTTCAGTAGATAATTAGGAAGGCAGATCCTTAAAGAGTTACAATAGCCAACTTGGGATAAAATAAGTGAATGTAATGGTGTCACAAGACACTGTCTATCCAATATCGAATATGAAAGTTGCAACTTTTAACTACTGAATTTATATGCTCTTTAAAATTCAGTTTCGAGTCAAAGTAAGCTCCAAGCTTGCAGACAGAATTGACAAGACTGAGTTGTACTTCCCCCAAAGTTTAAAGCACCAAAATCATCTGCTGTCTCCCCTCCTATTTCCTTGGATGGCAATCTCGGTTTTGCCATCATTCAGCTTAAGTTTTCTCCTAGCCATTCAAGTCTTAATATCAGACATCAAAGATTTCATTATCTCCTTAATATCCTCAACATTTATTATTTTCACATAATGCTGTGTATCATCAGTATAGCATCATGTTCCATGAGCATCCAGTAGAACTACAAGACGACTGGTATAGACTGTAAACAGAAGTGGTCCCAAAACTGATCCCTCTAGGACTCCAAACTGCATCATTTACACTTACACTTCAAATATTTTCTCTGATGCTCATTCCTCATGTCAGTGTAAATATATTTGAAACCGAGGCCAAAAGAGGGCCTGGTCAAAGAGTTCAAATGGAAGGGATGTGATGACAAGATGGTTTTATTACAACCAAGAACTGTATAGTAAAATCCTCTAAAGATTATGTGCTTTGGGACCAAGTGTATTTTGTTGGGGTGGATTTTTCAAATATTGGCAGTAGAGTAATATTTCACTTCACTGGTTTAATTATTGCATAACTATACAGCTGACTACAAAGTAAATAAATTATATTATCCATTAAATTTGGCTTTAGCTTGTACAATAAACCCCCAGTGAAATTGTATTAATGGAAAATAAATGGTGTGATATTTACTGCAGTGAATGAAATAACCTGTGTATAAGATCCAACATACTGTCATTCAGTTAGCTAAATGAAATATTAGAAGTGCCATCCCCATAGTGAAGGGGTTAGAGGAGATAGCCTACTAACCACTTGTGTGTAGGGTCCCCTCTCAACTGAATAGAATGATCTGGCATTAGCCATATAAAATATTAAGAGTAGAGTCCCCATAGTGAAGTATTTCAATAAAAAATTTATACGATATGTCAACATTTTTTTAAACACAAACATACTTGAAACTATATTAATGTAATAAAAATGCCAATGTGCAGTCCTTGATCTATTGTTTAGCATGCTGTGGATCATAATGTATCATTCATTATGCTCCCCCAGTATTCATTTTAGTGTGAAATGCTTTGTCTCAACAGGCTGGGGAAGGTGTAATGATACCATCAGATCCGTTGGTTGGATGTGAGTGCACCGACTGTGCTGTTGACCATAAATCCTGCTGTCCAAAGCAGATGAACTCGTGGTTTGTCTACAATAAATATGGTAGACTCAAGGTACTGTATAGTAATTATATTATTATTCTCATATCTTTTTATGCACAACAATGATTCTTAAGTGTAAGCATGATGATGATAATACAGGTATCGCTCGCTTAATGAATGGGTTTGCTTCCTGGAAATTCATTCATGAAGTGAATTTTCATATCTTGAATAACAGAACATGGGGAACACCCGGTAATTGGGTTTATTTCCCCAATGACAAGAAAATCACAATATCATTCCAGCAAAACATGGTATCGGTTCAGGAACAAAAAAAAAAAAAAACCTAACTTATGTAATTTACTACCTATCACATTAAAAACATTAATAAAATATTATTTTAATGAAAATATGCAGTTAAAAGCATTATGGAAAAGCTAAATGAAAGTTTAACACAACCGCCATTTGCATAAGATGCAGCCGCATTGCCTCAAACCTCGCCATAGCAACTCGGCCCAGCTGGGACGTTACCTTCTGCCCCCCCCCCTTCCCCTCCAGCTCCCTCACTCAGCATGCTAACTCGCATACAAAGAAATGTTTATTCCTTTTATGTGTTTGACCATATGATAGTTATTTCTATTCATTTTTACAGATTATGTATGTTGAATTGTGTGTCAATATAACCGAATAAAACGAGTAAGAAGAAAGTTATGTTTATCTCTCCCAAATTACGAGGTGAAAAATAACCATAACATAAATCCCCCCTCAGCCCACTAACTCGCTGGCACACGAAGAAATGTTTATTCCCTTTATGTTTTTGACCTTGTGATAATTTTTTCTTTTATTAAATTTTTTTTGCACATTCTATATGTAGGATTGTGTGTGCGTGTAACGGAGTAAAATAAATATGAAGACAGTATTGTATATCTGCCTGAAATTATGAATTGGAAAATAACCTTTACATAGCTCACACCTCAGGCTGATAGGGAGGGGGGTTATGGGAAAGTGGCCGCCCCAATTGACTCCTGCAGGTGTGCGATTTGAATTTTTTGCTTGGACCAAAATTTGTATAAGCTGGGGGAAGCCTTCATGAAATGAAAAAGAATTGTTAATTTAAGAAATTCGTATAAGCGAATTTTTGTATCTCGAACGTTCATATAGCAAGGGATACCTGTATTTAGTTTGTTTAAGTTTAAAACCATGTAGAATTAACTGAGAACAACTTTAACATTTTAATAGTAACCAACATCGTATAATGCTTTCTTATGGAATGGCAGTAGACATCAGGAAATTGAATTACAATTATCTTTAAAGGTCTCTTTATTGGTAAATAAATAGTGAAAGGACCCAGTCGATTGAAGAAAAACTAATCGTACATACTCTTAAAAGTTACCATATCTTATTTGCAGATGATCAGTTTTGTGATGCACCAGTACTAAGCAGAATGATATAGTATTGCATAGATAAACAACCTGGTGAACCTGAAACTTGACTGGCTCTCAAAGGCCTCACTGGGCTAGGAGAGTGAAGAACTGTTTTAACTGTGGTTTGATGTGCAGGAGCTATGAAATAATTTATGTTGATCTGTCAAAGTAGTGTAATCTGATACAAGAACATTTCAGACACTGGCAGGGATGTTTCATTAGAAGTATCTGACTAGCCACATGTCATTTTCACTCAACTCTAAAGTAGGGTTTTGTGCTTTAGTGTTTTATATTTTACAGGTATCACTGGGGACCCCAATATATGAATGTAATAATCTCTGTAAGTGTGGACCTAACTGCATGAACAGAGTAGTGCAGAAAGGCAGGAGCATTAGTCTGTGTATCTTCCGCACTGCTAATAAACGAGGCTGGGGAGTGAAGACAACGGAGAATATAAAAAAGGACTCCCTAGTAACAGAGTATGTTGGAGAAGTCATCACATCAGAAGAGGCAGAACGCAGGGGAAAGATCTATGGTGAGTTAAATATCTAATACTTTAAATACTAATTTTCTTTTAAGATTTTCTCTATCATTCTATGTTGTTCAGATATCAGTTTAATATAAGTAATATACCTGCAGTTACCACCCCCTCTACTTTTTTGTGATTTAAGATAGCATTAGCTTAATTTCAGTTTTACTACTATTGGCTTGAAAATTTTTCTTATACAGGGGGGCCCCCCAAATTCGCGAATAACATTTGCGGACTGGGGGGGGGGGGTATGTTTTTACTTGTGTACAAAGAAATGTACAATATATTCCCTTTATGTGTTTTCCCTTAGGACAATTATTTCTTTTACCCGCATTGTATTTATGTGTGTGTGTGTGTGTGTGTAGACACACACACACACATTCAAATAAATAATAATGGGAAAATATTCTCACAAATAATCAGAAACAAATTTATTAAAAATGTGAGTCTACCCTCAAGTCCGTGCTTTAATAAATAAAGCACAGACTTGAAGGCAGACTCACATTTTTAATATATTTTTTCTGATTATTTGTGAGAGTATTATTTCATTATTATATATTTGTATGTGTTTTGTGTGTGTGTGTTTACACACTCACATATTTACAATACAGGTAAAGGAAATTACTGTCTCTAAAACGAATGGCTCCCTGTCCCAGCCGCGAAAATACTGGCAACTTTAAAACTACCCTCTGACATTCTTGGGTACATCCAGAGTGCCATCCGTGAATAATAGAGGACCACGAAATAAAAATCTGTGAGTTGGGGGCCTCCTGTACTACAATAATACTGTAGCAATCTCCATAACACATATTGCCAGTCAATTCTTAGATGGCTATTCACATTTCTATTGTTACATGTAATCAATCAAAGAACCATCCTCATATCTGAGGGTTGACGACCACAGTCCTTCACTCTAAACGTTTTTGGGCGTTTTTTTTTTTACCAATCATAGGGGTTTCGATTAGGGAATCCGGTTAACCATTCTTGAAGATTCCAACTGGGCACAATATATGAGGAATCCTTGTCTCATCCATCAGCTGTTTTATACTGATAGGTTGAGCTCTAAAATCCTCTCTTTCATTTTTTCTTAGAATCTCCGTAGAAAAAAGGGTGACATCTTCCTCAGAAAATACCAATAATGATGGATTATTGGAAATTGATATCAGCTCACTCATTCTCATATCTGTTGCTATTGCGAGAAGGAAGGCTGCCTTTTGGAGCAATCTGTCCCGGCTCAGATTTATATTGTAATTAGGCCCCATAAGAAATTTAGTAACTTTATCTAGAGACCAAGGTGGGATTCTCTTAGGCCGAAGGATTCTCGAAGCAGGAGAAAGAGGGCAAGAACGTAGCAATAAATACGCACTACCACTTGAAGCATTATTAGTGGCTTTCTTCCTTAGCTGGGCTTTTAGTTTAGGGTTTTCAACAACATTTCCAAAAATGAGTTGTACAGGGATTATGGAATCCCTTGTATAGCAGCAGCAAAACATGTGTATACTTTTGAACTGTCCTCATAGTCCAGCACCAACTTAGTCAATATCTGACACATCATAATTGCAGACCAAATATTTGCTGCCAACTTCCTAAATTTAAATTCTTCAAGCAACAGTGCAGAAGCAACTGGTTTCAAATTTATTTCATAACTTATATCAGCATATTTTGGAGCTGACAAATACTGGGAAAGTTCATATAAGGAACTCTTTTTGTCATTAAATTGGAACTTCAAAAAACTAAACTTGTGAGCATTCCTATCTGCGGGAATGAATGTTAAGACTTTCAATATTTTAGCCCAGACTTCATCTAATTCAGAGATCATAGTTTTTAAAGTTGTCTGAGGACCCGTCGCGACCCTACTGAGGACACCCCACGACCCTGATTTGGGCGCGACCTGAGGTTGGGAACCGCTGGTCTAAACTAAGCATCTGGCATGGACAGACACAGAGCTGTACTTATTTGTGCAAACACCATTGTACACATACATTATATTGTAAATAAATGAAATATTCTGTGCTAGTATTGTATACATTATACTATATTTACCAGCAGATGCTGTAACCTTGAGCTTGTGAAATAGGCAGGCCAAATGGTGATACAGTATAATGACACAGGATGGTCAGCCTTTGTCTTGTATCATCTCCTGTAGCAGGATTTGCTGTCACTCTCCTCTCCCTCCATGAAGGGGGGGGGGGGGATTGTACACTCACTGTTTACTACTGTACATACACCCTCTACACACTAGCCTATGCCAAGCATACACTGTCCATTCTGCTATGTACAGTACTGTACACTCACGCGCCATAGTTTCGATGCACCCTCTACCCCTACTCCTGACTCGATGGAAGTAGTAGCCTTGGCTTCATACTGAACGTCCCCTCCCCCACTCATTGTTCAGTGGTGCAATGTGGTAGCTCGAAGCTTCGCTGGATTGTACGAATAGCAATTCATGATGTAATATTTGAAAGAATATATGCACGATACAGGTTTTTTTAGTGTCTTCACAACACTTTATTTACCATTACTATACAAGAGGGACCGTTCGGTTTGCAGCCCTGACTACGACTTCCCTCGAGCCAAGAGTAGGGGTAGAGGGTGCATTGAAACTGTGACAGTATAAGTAACTAATAACTTATTATGTTTTAACGGTATTCTTGCTGATTATATGCTAGTACAATAATGTACAGTACTGCAGTACTGCACAACACAGATCATATGTCTATATTATATATATATATATATATATATATATATATATATATATATATATATATATATATATATATATATATATATATATATATATATATATATATATATATATATATATATATATATATATATATATATATATATATATATATATATATATATATATATATATATTGGGATTTAGTTATTATTTATATGAAAATGCAATTGTAATTTATTTGTTATTCTATTTACGTCGTAAATACAAAGAAAATGACTGTGTAAATTGAATTGGGTCCTAAATTAACCAAGGTCTTAAATATGAATCGTCGTTAGTAGAACCGTCGTTATCGGAGGCTTTCCTGTACTCTGAATATCATATGGATTGTTTTAGTCAGTTCAAAGGTTAGATTTATGGCAAACAACAGAAGACTATGCAATGTTTTCTGGTTTTGAGATGAATGAAAGAGCTAAACAAAATCATGGGTGTTGTAGGTGGTTGCCAAGTGTGATGTACTGGCAACTTGTCTGTCATCTTCTCTAGAATTTACTGGATCATGGATGTATATGAAATACTGTAATGGAAATAAATGTGCCAAAATGGAAGCCAAGGAACATGAAACTTCCACCATCTCTACAAGTAACTGATGTGACTACTGTTAAAGGGTTAAATGGCCTTGTGTTAATTGTTTGAGCCCCCCCCCCCACAGTCTCATAAATGCTTAATTTTAAACCCTGTAGCATAATTTTTTTTTTCCAGATCTTGCAAATACTGTAAGGTACTTGAATTGAAGTTACAAATACTTTTATCCACAGATGCTCAGGGATGCACCTATTTGTTTGACTTGGATTATAACAGAGGTGACCAGAACTTGTACACTGTTGATGCTGCGAAGTGTGGCAATGTTTCTCATTTCATCAATCATTCTGTGAGTTCATGGCTTTATTGTAAATTTCTTCAGAATGTTTTCTTTATTGAATATTTTTTTTGTAAAAAAATTATACACTGCACCCAGACATTGATATTCCAGTCATGGGCACACATATATATGTTAGCTATGTAGCTGCCTCTTATACCGTATTACCTCATAAAGTTATTTCTTCATATTTATCATTACCATGTTCATTGGTAATGGCAATTGCATTCTTTCGTTCTATTTTACAGTGTGATCCCAACCTGGTTGTCTTCAACGTTTGGGTGAATTGCCTTGATCCAGATCTTCCCAGGTTGGCTCTATTTGCTGCTCGAGATATTCGAAAAGGGGAGGAGCTGACATTTGACTACAACTCTGGGTTAAAATCAGAGCAGATAATTGATAGACCTCTTTCCCAATCAACAGGTTGTTATTATTATTATTATTATTATTATTATTTTTTTTTTTTTTTTTATTATTATCTGGTATACAAGTGAAAAATATGTATGGTTACAAATTCATATTAGAGCCTATGAGATGTACAGTTGTGCAAATGTGTTCCAACACCCCCATGGTAACCCGTGTCTCCAAACGGTGCCGGCGCAGGAATAGTATCACTATTTATGAATGAATGGGTATTGGTCTCGTAACGATGGACGTGATTGGTGGATAGGTTTGCTATAGGTCAAAAAGGTTGGCCGTTTGGAGACACGGGTTACCACAGAGGGTGTTGGAACACATTTGCACAACTGTAGCACTGTCAAGCTTCCACTCTAGCAAAACTTGCCATTACCCATATTTTTTTGGCAGATGCAGGTGATAATTGTAATCTGTATAACTTATTTATATATTATTTACTTAACCCATAAACAGTGGCCATAATCAGTGGAAGTTAACTGTAGGGGTGGCTGCCATCATCATGTTCCTTGAGTTCCATTTTTACACATATGGTTGATGGGGGGTGGCAGTGATTAGGAAATTCTAAACCACCAGTTATGGGTTAAGTATATTTTGTAATAATAGTCTGCTATATTTAATAAATTAAGGTTAATAGTATGTGTTACCTGACCACATTTAATAAAAACAGTATTGTAATCAGGCGTAAAACCCATTACCACACCCTTATGTGATAACGGAGCCATATTTTTGGTAATGATACTGTACCTAATTTTTCCCATGGTGGACTTATGTACTTTTAACATATTTCAGAGGAAAATGAAGAGTCTGTCTTTACTCCGGTGAAAGGTGAAGGAGCGAAAGATACTTCTTCCCCTGAGTTAGTACTGAAGACACCAAAAGGAAATAGGGGCCTTCAGTATGGTAAGACTGAGTGTCACTGTGGTGCTGCCAATTGTAGAAAATACTTCTTTTAACATTTTCTTCCTTGCAACTCATCCAATCTAGATCATTGCTGTTTGTCTGTTCTAAAAGACATGCCTGAACAAATTATCAGCAAGGAAATAAAACTTAAATAGGGTTATGTATATTAGGGTGCACCAATTTCCACACGTAGCCTATACTGCCTCTGCCTTACTTTCCATTAGACTTCATACTTATCACCCTAACTGACTTAAAAATAATATTTGAGACTATTTGCCAGTTTTAAAATATAAGGTATCAGAAATGATACTGGTTACATACTATAGTTAATTGGATACTTTTAGACCACAAATAAATAAAATAAAAAAGGGGAGGGGGAAATGTACTATACAGTAGTTAGGACTGTATAACCAACAAATTTGTCCCTTATGGTTAGTTCTTCAGAATCTGGTAAATGTCCAACTATATCACAAGGGGTGCAGGAAGGTAACGGTTTATTGCTAATGATTCTCATCCTCTTTAATAATCATCATATTCCATAACTTGAACTTTCTTTAGCACATCATTGATTATCAAATAAAATTTTCAGCTCTTTAATTCTTATATATTTCCAACCTAAATCATTATGAAGTATCTACAGTATGTTTCACTTATGTGTCAGACAAGTTGCCTTTCAACATAAGTTCCTTGTAATTATTTTTTATTAATTCAGCATTTCACTGGCTTATAATTAAGTCATTTTCTTTATGTTAAGCTTACCAAGATTAAGTGAGGCTGTATAAGATTGACTAGATTTAAGGGAAACTGTAGCTGTGCCTCAGAAAATTTGGTCATGTTGATATTCTTCCGACAGGTTGTACTTGTAACCAATTAAGAAAATATCCTGTCATCTTGTTTTAGAGCAGGGTCTTGAAATCTTTTTCCTGTCTTTGAAAAGGGGACTTTGACTATATTAACCCTAACTGGCAGCTCAAGCTTCTCTATTCCACCCCTATATGCACAAAAATGAAATGTCCACTGATGATGGTTGCCATCCCTGTAGCTAACTTCCACTGATGATGGTTGCTGTAGTATAAGGGTTAAATGATGTCCAGAGGAAACAAGTATGCACAGTTATTCAAAATACCATACTGATTACTCCAGGTTTTTAAAGCATTTAAATGGAGACTTTTCATTTTAAGTGTTTTTGGGGGGATAGACATGTTGCTGATAATTGTTGCCAGATTGTCAGACAATAGCAGAACACACATTACAGTAGTAAGAATGAATGAATAATGGCCATCCAGCATTACAGCAGGAGGAGGCTTCAAAGAGTGATGAAAATTTTTATTATTTTATTTATACTAAGCTAAACCTGGTATTCCTTTAGAGCATAGAGGTTATCACTATTTTAATGTATCAACACCCAAAATAACCACAAAACCATTTCCTGACATTTTAATGTACCGGCACTATTTTCCCTTGTTGACTATTCCTATAAAGTATATTCCGTGATAATCAGGCCTCATAGTCACATTACCCATGCTTCATTCACTCTTTGTATCCAGCATCTCCCCAGATCTTGACAGTATTTGCCTTGGTTGGCAGGTGGTTGTAAAAAAAAGAGAGTGAGAGAGAGAAGTCAAAGTTTGCCGCAGCACTAAATCACAATGTTCTTGCTAACACATCTTTCATGTACATACTCCTCCTTGCTGATACCTCTCTCATCCATGTACTACTTCATACTGACAACACTGTTATTCATGACTTCTCCATGTTAACACCCTTCTGAACCACATAATACAGCTCCTCCTCGACTTAAGACGGGGTTAGGGACCCAAATCCAGGTCGTAAGTTGAAATGGTCGAAAGTCGAAAATGCTTAAATAAAACATAGAAAACCTAAAATGGGTGTCTCTTTTTTCTTCGCAGCACCACAAACTCTTACTTTTAAGTTTGCCAGCCATTTTTAAGTGAATTGCAAACAAAAATTTTCTCTGTGTACTGACGTTGGGACTTGAAAATACGTAATTTGAAAATTTTTTGGTAAGACTGAGGCAGGTCGTAAGTGCGAGTGGTCGTAAGTCGGGGAGGAGCTGTACCTGTACACCTTTTTAAAAACCCTTTCATCCACATATTCCTCCATCTTAATACATTTGCCATCAACCCTTGTCTAGCTTCCAATCTTCCTTCTACCCCTCCTATCAGAAGTAATTTTTCCAGTCATAGTCCTTGGTAATTATAAATGGCAATGGTCTAGATTAATAAGTTGACTCCTCTCCAAGAGATTCAGTAAAAACTTATTTTAATTGTATAGGGATTTATATATTTTTTATTGTGACACTTTCATTTATACATATTTATTACAAACTTCATCTCTTTCCACTAAGGAAACATAATCATAAGGACATATATCTTGGCTTTTACTTGTGAGTTTCTTTTTATTCTTTATGTTAATTATAATTGTGTTGCTTTTTCCCATATGTGATATGACGATGTACCTTTGCAACATGTGCACGTGTAAATTGGTTTTCTTCATTTAAATACAAATATGACAAATCTGATTTGTGACTAATTTATACATGCCAAGTAGTGGGTTAAAATTAAATTTTGATGAGGCACATTTATTTTAGCAAATGTTATTAAATTACAATGATTCACAGGCATCAAACTTAGTGTTAATGTAAATTTTAATTTGTTGTGAAAGGTTATTCGATCAGGACAAAGTTTGATGTATGAGATATTCCTCTTTTATGGCTCCTGGTAATACAATTTATTTATTTTCTATCCAAAGGACGACAAACTTTAAATAAATCTTGGCATTTTTTTTTAATACATGCTTTAGGAAAACTTTGGCACATCTAATACAGCTTATTGATGTTTTCAATAGAATAAGTTGATTTTTGGATGATAGTCATGCTTATCTAGTACAAAATGGATAATTTGAAGAGAAGAATGTATACATCAGTTTTTAATAACATAAACAAATTGTGATAAACTTGTAATGTTTAAATGTGTTACTGATGTAAAATTTAAGTTTTTAATAGCTGTTTGTACTGCTCTTGAGTAAACATAGTACCGGTATACTGGATTTTGACATTGAAATGAGTTCGCCTATTGAGCTTTTGAAGGGTGGGAAAATGTACAGGTACCAAAGTTAATTGTTTATACAGGGTATACATATTCCTTTCTTTTGGGCACCTTCCGTGCTGCAAGAAGGGTCTGTTAAATGGCCATAGTGACCAGATGTGTATTGCCTTAAGAACACATCAAAAGTCTGGGGAACTCAATTGGATATTGAATTTCTTAAGTTGTGAGGATTGGTAGTTTTTCTGTCAGAATTATGGATATTTGTAACTTAGCAAATTTAAAAAAAAATCTTTATTGTATGTTTGAGATAATAGGAAAATAGGACAAAGCTACAAGTATTTTAAACAAAATCTAAAAAACTTGTTTGCTATTATGGCTATCACACCTGTGAAACAGTGCCTTCTAAATGTTTTAACATTAAGCAGATTCTACTCGGATTATACAAGACAACTAAATAAATAGATTTAAAAATCGCAGTTCTTATGTAACTCTCTATTGGCCACTGGCAACCTATTCTAATGCAGAAATATCTCCGTTAGCCGGAATCCCTCAAACTCGGAACTCTACGATAGCCGGAATTGAAATTTTCTTGGAAAATCATTCCCAGTCATTATTTTCCGGAAAATTCCGGCTTTGGAACAATTTTCCAAGGGACACATTTTCTGGAAAATTCTGAGAAATTTTCCTGATACCTGGAAAATTTCAGGGATGAGGGATTTTTTTCCAGCTTTGAGAGATGATGTAATGGGCAAATTCTGGAACTTCAAAGAGCATTTTTCCATTAACCAGAAAATTCCGGGGATGGGGGATTTTTTCCAGCTTTGAGAGTCGTCTCGTTACCTGGAAATGCTCTGTACCAATTGTTCCGGTTAATGGAGATATCACTGTAGTATGTTATGTAAGAAGACAGCTCATGGTTTTGTATTTCTTAGGTTTTTTTTTTATGCAGTAGGATATACTACTTACCTTGAGGTACCTTGAGGAATCTTTTACATTTCCTTGTACAAAAATTAATATGCATTGAGCAAGTGGGTCCAATGTTTGATTTTAAGTCCGTCATTATCTTTTTTATTGTAAATAAATAATATAGAAGGTGACATCTTTTTTCTTTTTTTTTAAGTTTCTCCTTAAAAAAAAGTTAGAATAATACTGTAATTGATATTCAGTCAATTTGACCAATGACAGCTGACAAAGCCATGAGAGGCTTGGTTCCAGTAGAGTCTTTATGCTAGCAGCATCTGGTGTTCTTAGGGCCAGGCAGTTGCCCATCCAAGTACTGTATTAACCAGACCCAACGTTGCATAACTTCTCTGGTCGGACAAGGGCTCGTATTCACAGTCATAACACCTCCCGACCGATTGGAAGCACCGTCGTTTACCGTTATTGAGAGATGCCTACAAACCTGAAGGCAGTCCCAGTGGATTGGATTTCCTATTGGAATTGTTGAAATAATTCATTGGGAGGGGGTACCTGCCCTATGGCACTGCCAATAAATAAAACTTTTCGCCCTCCAAATTTTATTGAGACGATACAGTATTACCCCGTGTTGCTTTACACGGTTTCACTTTCCTTTCCAAGGATTTCTCATTTACGTGGTACCTTGCCAGAACTGGACTTTCACTTTCTGCGGTGCATCTACTCATATACGCGGTGAAGTATAATTTATTTACAGTATTTTTTTTTTTTATTTAGCTCATAAAATTCATACAAATTACCCTGCCAGAATATAATTTATATTGCTGGAATTCTTACAATATGATGATCATTTGAATATAAACATCATGGATTTTGCATTACATACAAATTTTAGATCTAATGTAATAATTTGGTTTGCACAAAGCAAATATTTTATCGTTTTTGCAAAATATATGAAGTTTACATTCAAAATATTCCCTGACCTGCAAGGAATCTAGGAATGTCAATTATATTAACCTAACTTTAGTCTGGGTTATTATTTATTACTAAAAATGTAAATACTGTCAACCCTCGCTTTACGCGGTCCCACATTCTCAGAGAGGTAGGAGCTAGTGAGCTGGGAAGAGGGGGGGGGGGATTTGAGTCCATTATTTGAATGGACATTAACCTGGCGACTGTATTTCTCTTAAATATTAATTGTGTGAGCATACCATCATGAAATTTAGATGTTATTTTTACTACAACATAGGTATTGTGTCGGAAAAAGTGGAGTATGGGGGTCGGACCAGTCTCTATTGGAATTAATCCCATATGTTCTGTTGTTCACTTTACGCGGTTCTCACTTCGGGTACTACTGTATATTGAAAACTGAAAGGAAATGAGTTTATTGTTTCCATATAAATTCAAAGATTGTCAGTTATTTACAAATGTTAAATAATCTCAGCTGATCGTGAGCGTGCAGCCTTGCATCAACCAACACCGCGCCACCAATACTCAAGTCTTGAATACTGCAGGCATTGTCTTAGAGAAAAAATGGCAGCATCTACTTGTAGAGAACCCCTTCAAGTAGATCTTGCCTGTATAATTAGAGATAATGCCAGGGTTATGTACTTAAAAGTTTACATCTGTATTAATTTACTTTGCTGGAGACAAACTGGTAAATATATCGAAAAGATGGAGTCATGATAAAATAAGGAAGTGGCCACTTAACCGAGAGTTCCTGGCTGGTCATATTGGAGGCTACGTAGCCAGTATGTAAGGTTGGTTTAAAAAATCACGTATCAGGCAGTCCCCTAATTACGAACATAATTGGTTCTGGAGGTCTGTTCGTAAGTCAAAATTTACTTCTATCGCTTGTACACAATGTGTTAAATATGAAAAATACTTTATGTGCAGAATACCCACAGCACAGTACTCCATCATAATTTATTATATGACTTACCTGAGAAATATACAGACAAAAAAATGCATATTTGTTTTCCTAACTTGGAAATTGGACTAACTGGGCTTGCTGGCACTGACTGGCATAAGATGGTGATGAGAAGTTAAGCGGAGGCAGTGGAAAAGGAAGCTGGAGCATCAGAAATGGCTTCAAAAGTTGCAGTAAACCTGTCTGTAGATGTGGATGCTACTTGTTTTTCCTGTTCCTCTTGTGTCTTCTCCACTCATTGTAGATCACTTTGTAGAAAAAAGTTGCATCATGGACAGCTGCTGATACCTTTGTGAACCTCTCTGAGTTTGGGTCCTGAGACTCAAATAATGACAGGGTTTTCTCAATGTCATGGGTTGCACTGGGCCTCCCGCACAACCCATCCCAAATGTTTGTTTAGGTAGAGATTAGGTACCCGGCCAGCCGATAGGGGTCATCTCACGCCTCAAAACCACATTTTAGAAGTGGGCTTTAGATCTTGGTTGAGAGAAGACCTCCTGCTCCGCAGACTTACAATAGAACGGGCCATACAGTCCTACGAGTCTGTGTGTGCAAAATCCCGAGATTGTTGTTAAGTCCAGCTAAAGTTAACACATGCTGTAAAGGAAGTGATCACTGGTGAGGGCCTGTTTGCTACAAGAGCACTCCAGGCCGGCTTAATAGATCTAACAATTAATTCTCCAGGTTGACAAACTCTCCCTTATAACTTACGGTACTGTGGCGCAAATGTGAGTGACTGACCTATCCATGCAAATTATAAGTCCAGTGTATGGAATTGTGCCAAATAAACGTAAGTGCAATTATCTGCCCGTATCTGTGACCCCTCTATTATTATTATTATCAAAGGTAATGACTGAATGGTTATGACATAGTATAACCAGTAACTTAGATGGATGTTGGAAGTTAATGGAATTCATTAAATCATCATTTATCAAGTACACAACACATTGAATGCCGGAAGCAGAGTGAAATTCTACGTAGTGATGCAGCATAATCTCCTGGGTGAGTAATCAGTGTGAAGGTATCTGAGTTCTACAGTAAAAAAACCACTTTCTTGCATTTAAAACCTAACACTCAATTATACTGAACGGTTCAGCCATCTCCTTGGTGTTAAATCTTTTAGGTTTCTGAACCTCCTCTTCCTCTTCTGTGGCCTCATTCTCCTTTTTCTGTGGTCTTTAATTCTTTCTTTGTCCTTTAAATTGTACCATCAGTCAAATGATACAGTCTGAAAGTATGAAACACATTTGTCATCCTATCGCCACTTTTGTTTCTATTGTAATCATGTGTCTTTTCTTCCTCACACTCATCACTGGCACTACGTTTACCGGTATGCTTCTAGGACATATTGGAGTCAATAAAATTCACAACAAACCAACCATCACCACTGTAATGCTGTAATCAATGTGAGACAAGAAAAACTAAAATGGGTGTTGCTTGGCCGGGAATGCTGGGAGTAGTGCATTAACGTCATCTATTGCACATCAGTAGAACTGATGACTTGCGCTTTTGCACCAAACATAAATTTAGACATACGAATAGGTTTATCCGTAAGTATGAAAGCTTATAAGTCGTGGGGATACAGTACTGTTAAGGTATCCCTCATTTGACAATCACTTAGCAATATTTCAGTTTAGCAATTTAAGATTTTTAACACCCTTTCTTGTTTAACATTTGTCAATTGTTGCTCTAGCAATCTTTAACTAACTGGGAAAAATTCGGGAAGGAAGTTGGGAAAATGGAGATTCTGTGTTCCAAGTGCACATCATTACAATACCCTGTATTGTAGTATGACTTAGAAATAAAGAAAATGCTCTCCTGTGCAGTAGGGTCGGGATATATTGCGAGGTAGGGTCCAACGATGTTCGCTATATACTAAATCGCGATAACAGGGACAAGCTAGTGAGTAATGGAGTTAACTATGCCAAAGAAATTTGCAATGATCTGGGGATAGTCATGGAGCGTCAGCGTCGACCCAAAAAGAAGAAACAAATGTTTGGTGAAGGATCACGAGATGCTGAATTGCCATACGACATTGAATTGAGGAGAGAAATGTTTTCTTTGCTGGACAGAGTGATTCAAGAAATAGCTTTGAGATTTCAACAGCTTCATGAACTTGCTGAGAAATATGCCTTCCTTACCCCATTGAATCTTTTGGATGATAAATATGAGTGTCAAATAGATCACGATCACGGCGACATTGATAAAGAGGAGTTCCTCGTTAAGAGAAAAAGACTTCAGCATTTTGTTGCTGTTGCTGCTATAACTATTAAAGACAGAATACAGACGTGGAAAGAAGGCCCCCTTGAACTTTTGCAGTTTATTCAAAAGTATAACCTTGGGAACTCGGTTCCAAATATAGTAATAATGCTGAGGATTTTCCTCACAATTGCTGTTAGTGTTGCTACCTGTGAGAGGAGTTTTTCGAAACTAAAACTGATCAAGAATTACTTAAGATCTACTATGAGCACCTTGCGGTTGACAAATCTTGCCATACTGTCTATAGAGCGACAATTGACAGATGAAATAGTTTTTGACAATGTCATTGAAGAATTTGCCAACAAAAAAACAAGAAAAGTTACTTAGTAGAAAGTTGTAGTTTTCATTTCAGAAATAAAGATGGTCCTAATTTTTTACACTTTTTTACTTTTTTCCCTATCCTATATGTCGTTTTTGCTTTTTGTTTAACTGTTACTTATAAAGTTTAAGTATGTTTGGGGTGTATTTAAAGCATACTATATTTGAGTATGTGAAAGTACAGTAATATTATAATGGTACACAAACTATTTAATATATATATATATATATATATATATATATATATATATATATATATATATATATATATATAGTGAGTCACTGTGCAATATGTATTTTTTGTGGGTGCACGGGGGGCACTCTAGCTACGCCACTGCTGGTTGCTGACCTAGACTACTCAGCGACAAGCGTTTGTAGGGGAGGAATCCACTTCAATATATATATATAATTTAGTTTATCTAGAATTATCATATCTATTATTTCAGTATATCAATTCATAATTGTAACTTTCTTTGTAATCAGTAAAACCTTTCGAAATCAATGAACATTTTCAATGCCTTTTCTATAATGTCAATTTCATTTATAAACTGTATGTCAGGAAAGCCTTAACATTTTTATTACTATAATCGGGCTTAAACCTGCAATTTAATATTATATAATTTTATAATCAGCAAAATTATTGATGACACCATTATATTTCAGTTTAACTTTGTT